CAGGTTTTCAGATTACCATCAGCCCCTTGAGCTGTCAGCTTCTACATTGTCATATTTCTAACTTTCTCTAAAATACCAATATTTGCTGCAGAACTGTAGGCTACTCGGATGCCCTCAGAATACATTTTAACCACAACATCTGCACGAGGGGCAGGCAGTTGGTTTCCCGTCACCCACTCCGTATTTTGGCCATGTTTGCTCCCACGGACACCCGTTACACTGCTCCTGCAGTACAGACACAGCCGCCAACCTCAACACACACCAGTTGCGTGAACTACGTTGCGCACTAATAAAAACAACAATCACCTCACCGTAAGTAAAAAGCTGACAGGTTGCGTGCTGTGAACTTATAGTAGCTGAAGCCTGCTGTTACCACGACCTCCAAAAATACCATCCAAAAATACCTCCAAACAAACAGCTGCGCCGAGCTCCGAGCGCTCCGAGGTGACCCGGCTGCGTCTGAACTCCCGCCGCTCCGCCCCGCGTCCGCGATCGACACGCGGCTACATCGCCGGCTGCCGGGCCGCAGCCCTGGTCCCCTTAACGCAGAGCCGGATCCTGCCGGGCCGAACGCCCTCCTCACGTCGCACGGCTCTGAGGGCCACCGCAGGCCGGGCCGAACGCGGAGCCCGCCGCGCCTTCCCGCCCGCCGCGCCTTCCCGCCCGCCGCGCCTTCCCGCCCGCCGCGCCTTCCCGCCCGCCGCGCCTTCCCGCCCGCCGCGCCTTCCCGCTCGCCGCGCCTCGCCGCGCGCCCCCTGCTGGCCCGCCGCTGGCGCTTCCAGAAGGTTCGGCCACGTGACCCGAGGCGGCGCTCAGCCATGCTCGGGGCGCGCGCCGTGAGGGCGGCGCTGTACGGGGCGGTGCCGATCAGCGCCGTCAAGGCCCGGGGCGCCGCAGCAGGAGCGGCGTCTGCTGTGCTTGGAAGCCCAGCATCAAACACCGCGTGCCATTGAGGGCGTCCATCCGGTGCACCAGTGGAGGTTCTGCCCCGGTCGTTACCGGCCTGCTGTGCTCACGCTCGCTCTCTTTCCAAAGCAAAGGCAGCTGTGACTCACGGTGTGCAGCCTTGGCTGTGCAGTGCAGGAAGGCCCACAGCCCTGCCCTGCTGCCATCCCATGCCGTGGCAGCCCCTGTGTGCCCTGTCCGGCTCTGAGCATCTCTCTCCTCTTTGTTCTGCAGAACCGCTCTCTGCTCACAGCAGGGACTGCCGGCATGGCGGGATCCCAGGAACCCAAAAAGCTAATTAGGCTGTATTAATTGAAGCATCATGTGTGGTTTGTAGGCTAGCTCAAAAGTGTAAAAGCACACTGCATTTTAGATAAATGTTTTTTTCAGCCTAGCAAAGACCTGCGAGTCAGCTGTGGTAGGAAGCTGTCAGCTGCAAAGACAGAGCTCTGTAATACAATACAATTAGACCTGAATAATTTAGGCACTGAAGCAAATATTTGAGGCCTGGGCTGTTTGCTTTCCTAAATGAGAAATCACCCAGACGTGGATTTGCTGCAAATCCACCCCCAGAGCCCTGAGTGTGTCAGGCTCCAGCACGGCGATGTCCCCAGCACTGCGCACACTGCAGGCAGAGGGCACAAGGCACGAGGAGAGCTGCCATTTTCTTCTCCTGCCTCTGACACAGGATTTAATGGGGTGGAGAACGTAGCAGGATTGAGATGGGTCATCGCAACCACACAGGCTGCGTTAATGCTATTTGTTTCTTGAATGTTGTCTTTGTTACTTCGGGAAAGTGAGCTTTCCCAAAAGGAAATACAAGGAGTATCATCAACTCTGTTTCATAGCAATGTAAATGAATCCTAATTTCCTAAGTGTCATCCAGAGGTCATACTGCAAATAAGCTCTTGCTGTTGTCAGTTATTGTGACGCACTTTGTTTTTCTGAAGGCTGCACACTGCACCCATTCTGTGCATTGCTGAGATCTACCTGCCAGCAGAGCTGTAGGAACGCATCCTTCTGCAGCCACTGATTTCCAGGAGGTAACAGTGCTGCTACATCCTCTTAAACCACTACTGAACAGGAAGCTTTATTTTTCAGGCCACTGATTTAATGATGTTGTGTTTTTTCACCTTTTTTTGGTTATGACCCTGAATCACCAGCTGGGTTTTGGTTCCGTGCACCGTGGCTGTCTGTCAGGACGGAGAGTCGTGGAAGGATCCCCAAAGGACAAACCTGCACTCTCAGCACTGCTGTCCTCTCTGAAAGCAGTAAGGCAACGCGGGAGGGTCACGAGGAAAACTGTTCTGTTCTCTAAATGTGAGGGTTTAATTATGTGTTCAGTTCTGAGATGCATTTTTCTGTTGCAGTTTTTGGGGTAGTTTGGTTTTATTTTTCTCTCAGCTTTGTGAAATGATGATGATAGAACAACGATGAAAGATGATGAAGTTGAGTAAGAAGAAGTGCTTAAAACCTGACAGGAAATAATGCAAGCCATTGGTTCCTCTTGGCGCTGGGTGTACACCTCAACATATAGAGTACTTCCACTAATATCTGACCGCAGATCTCTCTAAAATCACAGGGCATTAAAAATAACTGAACACACTCTTGATCTCAGTGAAGAATTTGTTGCAGTTGTTCATAAGCAGAGCTTGAAGTTGACTGACAGGAGGAACTGTGTGCACCACCTACTGCAAATGCCCCGGCCAGCTGGCGCACAGCACTGGGCGGCAGCAGGGCAGCACTGTGTGTGCAGTGCTGTCAGCAGTGGGCAGCTGCAGAACTGGCCTGCAGCGCTTCTAGGAGGCTGTGCTGGCCAAAGAGTTTTCCAGCTGTGTTGAAGGCCTGCTGAAGGCCCGTCAGCCAGCACAAGCTCTGCTTCTCTGGTTGTCTGCAGGAGCGTAGCTATCGGATTTTAGGCTGTTACATTAGGTATGTGATGGGAGTTTTCCTTGAAGAATGCCCCAACAGGAATTTCTGTATTTGACTCACAAGTCATACCTCCCTTACACTGCATATACAGAAATATATACATGTATGCTCCGCTTTTCCAAGCACAAGGTTCTACAGGAGTGGAAACTCACACTGATCGTCAGGCCTGTTAGTTCTCTCTGGGCTCTCCGAAGGCGAATCAGGCAGTTATGCTTTTTGGATTTACCTGAAACAAGTCTTCCTCTTGCCATTTCAGCTCAGCCCACACACACTGCCTTCTACTTTTCCGGTTTTGCTGTAGGCATCCACATGCAGGAACACACATCTACTCTTAGGCTGGGTGGTGAGAGTTGGCCTTGTTTGTCTCAGGGCGACTGTAGAGCAAAAGTGCTTCATTTTCACGTTCTGTTCAGCTGATTCTTTGCTGCTCTCCCACCTTCATCGCGTGTGCTCTGCAGACTGGCTGCCATGCAGTTCCAGAGAGGTCAGCTCTTGGTTTCCACTTTTTGTAGAGCTGGGGAAGGCTGTGCCTCTCAAGCTGCAGATGTTTCAGTGTATGCCACCGATAATGAAAGATTTCAGACCTTCCAGTTGCCATTTCTGCCTCAGAGGCGAGATATGTGTCTTTAGGAAGGCAGCAAAAGTGAGTGTGATATCTGGTTTGAGAGAGAGGATGTGAGAAACTCATCTTGCTTCATCTGCCACTCTATTAGTAAAAATGAAACTTAATAAACATAAAACTCAGTGAGAATGAAAAGAAGTATCTTTTTGTATTGGTAGGCTGGTAAATCTGGTGATAGCTCAGGGCTGTCTCTTCGTGCGAGAAGCTGCAGCTGCCTTTCTTGTGAGAGGAAAGTGAATGAGGATATAAGATCTCGCAGAGGGTACGTGACAGCATCGATTTGGCAAAGGCAATGAGGCTGCACAGAAAGAGGCGCTGCAGACATGCAGCCGCTGCCCTTCTCTGTGCATCATCTCCGTCTCTCCGGAGCCGACCGGGAAGAAAGGCGCACTCCCAGCAGGTCGCCGCTCCCTCGGCACTCCCGGCTGCCCGCCCCGCGGTACGGCCGGCCATGGGGCAGCACCGCCGGCCGCGGCGCCTGTCGCACCGCCCGCCCCGAGGCACGGCGCCTTCCCTTCCCTCCAGCTAAGCGCCGGGTGAAGCTCCGCGAGGTGAAGAGCGCGGTTCGCCGCCGTCGGGGCGGGGGGGGGGTTCGTTCGTTTGTTTGTTTCCCGCCCCGTCGCATTTTTACGATCTCAAAGAGGAAGGAGCCTTCGGGTCACCCGGAGAGCCGCTCGGACGGCGGTGGACCCGCGGGACCGCTTCGACCGCCAGCGGTTCGGCTCCGGCGGCGGCGGGAGAGCGCCCCGAGCTTTGATGTCCCGCCGATGCCGGCACTCCGCGGGCGGGACAGGCGCTGAGCCCCGCCGCCAGCCACCCGCCGCCACTCCAGCCTAGCCTTCCTTCCAGCCTAGCCTTCCCTCCCGCCTAGCTTTCCCTCCAGCCTAGCCTTCCCTCCAGTCTAGCTTTCCCTCCAGCCTAGCGCTCCCGCCCGCCCCGCGCCGCCGCCCCGCCGCTGCCCGGTGATGCGCGTGGCGGCCCCGCGGCCGGACCCCTCCGAGCGGCAGCCGGTGAGTGCGGGGCGCGGGCCGGGACTGGCGAACGCGCGCCGCGAGGCTCCCCCGCCTCGGCAGTCCTGCGGGGCTTCGGCCTCGGGGCGGCGTGCCGTCGGGCGGGCGTCGGGACGGGACGGGACGGGACGGGACGGGACGGGACGGGACGTGCGGGGCGCGGAGCCCGCGGGCACCTGAACGGCCGCCCCGGCGCGGCAGAGCCGGACCGCCTGGTGCTCCCCGGCTGCGGCGGATGTGCGAGCGTCCTCACCGCGCGGCGCGGCCCGGCCGCAGCCCGCCGGCACCTCCCCGCCCACGGCGCGCCTCCCGCCGCCAGCTGCCCCCGGCCGGGCGGAGCGGAGCGGCAGCGTCCGGCCCGCCTCGTGAGCGAGCGGCGCGGAACCGCCCGCCCCGAGGGCTCCGCCGGGCTGCCGGCATCCCGACCGCACGGTGCGGGGCGGGGGCCGAGCCGGCAGCCCGAGCGCCCGGCCGTAGCGGGGAGCCCCGGTGGCACCGGTCAGCCCGAGCTGCCGCGCCGCGCTTCCGCCGCGCCGAGTGGCTCGTCTGCACGCTGCGTGCCACACAATGACAAAAAAGGTAGGGTGCTTCGTGCCGCGCTGCGTTCCCTGTAGAGACCGCACCGAGAAGCAGGTATGCCTCGAGTCACCTTTAAACGTATGCATCCCGAGGAGAAAAGCTACTGCATCAGCTCCCTGTGCAACCGCACCGGGGGCTGAGAAATGAATTTCAGCTGTCTGTTGCATCTTTGCTTTAGTAGGCAGCTGGGATAGTGGAGCATTGAAGAAATCTAAGAAAACCACGTTACCTATGCTTTTATCTGCTTACATTACTCCTCTGCTTTTGGTGTGCTTGCAGTTAGCACGCACAGAGGCTCTTACCTGGAGTTTGCTAACACGGATGGGATACGTTCTCTAAATAACCAGAGGTAAAAATTAGTGAGATGCCTTTAAAACACGAGGAGCACTGCAGGAGCAGCAAGATTAGCTCACATGGAAAAACTTAGCTGCAAGGAACGTATTGGCATGCAAAGGTGCAGTGTTTCTGCCTGCTCCAATAAACCATGTTTTTACCACTTTAAAGACACTCTCAGAGCCGTAAGATAAACATCACCTCTTAAATTAGGCCCCAGGTATTCACTGGTCAGCATTAAGTCAATATAAATTACATTTTCTGCTGCTTGATATGACTGGAAGTGAGAAGGGTACAATGGTTAATAAATGGTTGTTTCCTTTTACATTACCTATGAATTTCTAGTTCACTGCTAATGCAGGACAAGCTTCTCGGCGCAGCTCTCACTCTTACGTGGCTGTGTGGGATTTCAGAGCTGTGTCTCAGCACTGGGTGCTCTGACCCACTATTCGGAGAGAAAAAAAAGAGGGGAGATCACAAGGAAGTGGAAGGGGCAGCAGTGGTGCAGATGTGAAGAGCAGAGCTGGGCCGAGCCTGCAGAATGCCAGGCTGGGAGCTGCAGAATCCCTGGCACTGCTGGCACAGCGTGCGGCCCACTGTGTGGGGAGAGCGACGGAGGGGAGGGGGATGCTCTGATCTGAAACGTTCCCTCTTCCATTTGGGTAAGCAGTGTTGGCGTGACAGCATTCACCCTATGCTTCAGTATTGCATAAACACAAAAAGGGATTCCTTAGGTCCCGCCTGCTGAATTACTTTGTATCTTCATTGATAAGCACACACTGCGGGGCAGCTGGCTCTTGAGGTGGCCATGAAAAGAGAGCAGGGATTGCTGGATCTGGGGGTTGGACCGGCTGGTCTCTGGGTCCCATCCAACCCCTACGATTCTGTGGCTCTCTGGACTACAGGACAGCAATCAGGCAGAAACAGAGCGTGCTGAGTACAAGTGAAGACAGCTTATCGGAAAGGTTGTAGCAATTTGAGGACAAAGATGAATCCAAGGCAACAACTTAATCCAGTTGAACATACTGAAGTACAAGCCTGGGACTGGAGTGGAAGCAGAAGCTGAGAAAGGCACCCTTCCCGTTGGTACTGCTGCCTGCAGGGGAAAGTAGTGTGATGGGCATCACAGGAATGCTGAGAACAGACACTGCCAAGTTTCCATTGCCAAAACCTGAGAAATACATCGCCAGGTGTGCAGGAATGTGAATACCAGCAAAGAAAGTGAGCAGGCCCTAAGCAAGCAGGAGCAAAGCTTGGTCAAACTGCAGTGCTGTGGTTATCACCGCAAAGCCCCAGTCTCTGCACTGTCAGTATGGCCTGCTCCCAGCAGAGGCTGACTTATTTATTGTTTTTTGCTATTTTTAGTGACAGCTGCAAAGCTGTAGTCAAGAACTGCTTACACGATACTTTAAAAGATGACAGCGAAGCACAATGGTATATTTTGACCTTTGGCATGAGATAAGTAATTGGCAGATTAAGTTAATTTTTATTCAGGCCAGGAGACTTGCTTTTGCTTCCTTGTGAATTCCTGTACCATCACACAGGATTAAACTGCACGGCGAGTTTTAAAAACGGCTTTGGTTTGCTGGCCTTCCTTTTCTGCTCGGTGGCCTCTTTGCACAAGGCAGAGCTCTGCTGTGTCCCCAGGCACATGGTACGTATGCATGTGGGCACACATCTGAGTGCCACCACTTCCTGGCCGTGTTACAGATAACTTTGTGCCAGTCTGGAAATTCACCCAGGAAGCATCTTGGTTTCTGTGCAGCTGAGGAGCCCATTTCAGGACCCACGATTCGGCGTTCTCCAGTGACTTTTCCCTTTTCCTTTTCAGACACTGGGTTATGGGCAAGTCAGAAAGTCAGATGGATATCACTGAAATGAACGCTCCAAAACCAAAGAAGAAACCGCGCTGGAGCGGCCTGGAAATAGGGCTGACTGTTGTCGTGATTCTGCTGGCCATTGTGGCAATCACAATGATAGTCCTGTATGCCACATACGATGGTGAGTACACGTAAATGTCTTGGAATGTACAAATCCACGTTAATATAAAAGCATTTAAAGAAATGATGCAAAAAGGCTTCATCAAATAGAATGCAGCTGTTCATATTGGAAAGAAAAAAAAAAAAAAAACCTGAAGATTCAGCATATTAAAACACTGCATTAGAAAAGTATGTTGCATATGTACAGAGCTGCACTGCAGAAGACGTTAAGAAAGACTTTTAAACGGTCAGCTCAGAATATCTGCCTGAGACCGTAAGTCTGTGCCCACAGTGCAAAATGAGAAGCAGCAGCCCATCATCATGGTGCTGCACGGTGCGCTGTCAGACAGCACGGCACAGTGCAGGAAATGCAGCGCTGCAGCCACGCTCTGCACTGCTGCACACACACACACTAACTGTGCAAAGCGGTGGGAAACACAAACCATCTGCTTGTTTGGACCTAGCAATACTTCTGTTTGTAATTAATGCTTCGGGAAGCAGAAACTGCAGAAGAGAATCCTTCCAAACAGCCCCAAACTGCACTGTTTCCTCCACATGGCTGTAGAAGTGAAAATCCCATTTTTTCCATTCACAACGATTGTGACAAGCACTCAGTGAGTGCAGGCACACAAAGCGTTTGGTAACTCAGCAGCCATACCAAAGCGTTTGAAAATAATTCCGTCTAGGCAGAAATACTGATTTTTTTTGTTGTTTCTTAGTGGAAAACACAAGAATGCTCAAAATTCCATTTTGTGAACGCTTGGTGAATGTTTAATCACACTAGAATTGACCGTTTTCATTTTGAAGTACTTAATGATTTTGCTTTTTAGTTTTGTATTGCCCATTTATGGAATGGAAAAAATGCCATTCTGAAATGAAAACCAAGAAGTGCCACATTTCTGAATCTCGGAAGGAAATATCTGTGCTGTGGAGCCATGGATTTTGCAGGGCTGCATGGTGAATGTGGCAGAACATTCACACAAATCCTCCTCCATCTTTTTGTCACTGCAAAGAACTGCTGCATTCAGACTGACTTTGTAACTGTTTTCAGTCTATTTTCTATTTTTCTCCAAATTTCTCCCCTTCTAAATAAAACTAATATTTCTATCACTTGTAATTGATTGATAGAACCTTTCCTTCAAATGACCACGAGGTTCTGCATGATGAGCACAGCACTGAGAGCCCTAAAGGGATGAGGATAACAGTCTTTTTAGAGCCAGACCCTATAAATCTCACGTTCTGAACGCACGCTGTTCTTTGATCTTTATCTCACTGCACCCTGCAGTTAATGCAATTTCTAAAGTGACTGTCATTGAAAGTAAAATTTACAGTAGCTTTTATTGTATTGACATAGAGTAGAAGTTAAAAGTATGATTGCTTTGTTTTCTAGATGGGGTTTGCAAGACATCAGACTGCATAAAGTCAGGTAAGAATGAACATACGTATGTTTTAAATACATGTATGTACTTCTAGGCAAAATTAAACCACATACTGTTGCCAACTGGCTGTACACAACACAGCACATTGAGGCATGCCATCTGCTAACCCAAATCATTCCCTTCCTGTATTTTTTCTGCAAATGTAAAATCTCACGATTGGTACTGTCGAATCTCATAAAGTCATCAGGGTCAGGCTGGTTCAAGACTCAGAAGCAGACTCCAAAAAATACCTCTAGCTGCAGATATTGACTGAAGTGAACCAGAAAACGGCTCTTCCTCACCAAGTCAGCATTCAGGCGGTGCTGCAGCACGTGCTGAAAGGCTGTGTCTCCAAAGATGCTTATAAGGAGAGTCGTGACTGCTAACAGCTCTTAAAGATGCCGTGTTGCTGTTTGAGGGGAGGCAGAGTTAGTCTGCATGTCCAGAACAGCTGTGTATTCTATAGGCTGCCTAGCTAATGTCATTCTTCAGGAAGGACTGAACTGCAGAAACAATTCTTAGTTTACACATTGGCCTGAAGTCCGCTAAAAAGCCTCAAAGCAAGATGAGCCACGCTTTCCCTTTCCCCTTTTTTTGAATGGTACAAAAATCACTGATTTTTTCAGCTGTATTTACAAGCCAGCTGTTAGTCAAGTCAAAGCCCCTGGAGAGAAATATTCTGCTCTGTCTGCTGTATTTTGGAGATTTGTTGCATCAACAGTATCAATAGGAAAGCATCGGAAATACAGCGATATCTATGTGTTATCTTCATGTCAAGTGGAACTGATAAATTCTGTGTGAATTCTGTACATCACGACCGGCCCCTCTGGGATTCAAGGGAAAAGGCAGCCCCAGGAGAGGGCGTAGACCTACTGTGTCAGTGAGAGACACAGGAGAAGTTCAGAGGAGGCATACAGATTTTGACAGTCGGCACCCCAGAAAAATGTGTTTTCAAGCCAGGGTTCATGTAACGCAAGCTAAGTGCAGATGATAAGGAATCTGAAGTGCACAGCACCCCACCAGAGGCTTCCAGAACACTTGGATTCATTGGCCCCATTTAGACTTTCAGACATGCCAGGAACACAGCAGAAGCATCACTCTATTTGTTTCCTCTCTTGTCTGGGGCTGCTCCTTTCAGGCCTCACTTCACACAGCAGTGGGAGCATCTGCTCCACACCTCAGTCCTGTGCAACCATCCCCTGGTGAAGCCTTGGCCCAGCCTGTTGTCTCAGTGCTGGATGCTGCCATCACCACAGGCTATGCATCTCCTAGGATTTATTTCAGGTGGCCTCGATGTATCCTAGTTATACTTCCAAAGGATTTTTCTGCCGTCACGATGTGTGATTTGCACTTGTGTATGTATGTACGTGTTGATATGCTGATACACAGGCCTGATGCACGCTGCCTGAGCTCAAACAGCACAGACTGATGAGAACAGGAACTGTTCGTATCTCTGTTATTAATGGCACCTAGGTAAGCACACAAGTTTCTCCCACATCCTTCTCAGGTCACTAGGTGTTATGCCATCTTTTATTACTTTATTTGTAAGCTATTAAAGCAACAACTGGCAATGATGAGAATCAGAATAAAATTAATCATTAAAAGTAGTTCAAATAGGTCTCTACATTCTTCAGTGCAAGTTAGGACACTGAATAAACACGTTAAGCACAGGAATAGAAGCAATATTTGGATCATCAAAGCAATACAGAGGACTAATGAAAAGTGTAACATCGTATTTTATTTACTTGTGAAGGTATGAGTGACTCTGTATTAGAATTAAGTAACAAAAATACTCATCAGTCTCACACTTCCAATTTCCAGAGCAAAATCATCTCACTGTTTGGGCTTGAATGCTCCACTGGGCCCAAGTATGAACTTGTAAATGACTTCCCATGTTGGCATCAAGCATGTGCTCCAGGGCTTCACTGATGACAAAACCACATTCCATTGATTTTAGTTTATTTGTGGTATCAGGCAAATAATCACTTCTACTTGGGGATTCAGATGTGCAAATTACACTCTTGAAGTGAGTGTTTTTAGGGGCAGTACCTGAAGTGTGTATTCTGAAGGAAAACTTGAATGAAGGAAGAAATGCAGTTCCCATGACTCAGCTCGGTCTTTTCACAGCATTTAACCTTAATGTTTTCATAAAATTGGATGTGCTAACATGGCTGGTTTGGGCTCTACAGCAGAAATGTTACAGTAGGTAATTTTTTATCACAGCAGTAGAAAAGAAAGATTGCTCAGATACTGACTGCCAATAGAGCAACCTGATTCCACGGTTCAAGCAAGGCTGATTTACACAGACAGTAATGAAGTTGCCAGACGTACACAAGATGCGAACTTCTTCTAGTTCTTGGTTTGCTTTTGTTGTTGTTATTGTTTCTTTTCTCCAAAAGTGGCAACACAGTGGTTGAATTACATTTTCTTGGTGTCAGAAGATTTTTCCAACTCATCACTACGTCGTGGCAAGGTTGGCACACGGCACTGAAAGAGCTGCTGTGATGTCGAGTCCTGGCTGCTGAGGTCTTTGTTGCTGGATTAACGTGTCAGGATAACCCAAAGGACAGTGCTGCCCTCTAGATGCTCCGGTCTAACAGAGGGATTCCTAAGGACACCCTTAAACTGAAAGAGCTTGGTAATCGTCAGCCTTCCTCTGTTACAGCAAGGACCTAGCACAGGAATAAAGCACGCCATCCGAAGCATCCCTTTCCCTTAAATACAGCACAACAAACTAGGAAGAAAATAGATACTGGAGTTTACACAGTCGCAGAAGAGCTGGAAGTGGGAGTGAGCTCCAGGGATCATCCAGCCCGACCGCCCTGCTCAGAGCGGCGCCAACTGGAGAGTGGCTCAGATCTGCCCGACAAGTTTTGATCACTTCCCAGTCAGACACTTCCTAAACTTCCTGGGCAGCACGATTCAGTGCTGACCGCCCCTAGGGACGCTCAGTGGGATGGGTGTTTGGCTTTCTCAAGAATGGGTAAAAAGCAACTGTCAAACAGTGCAAACAGGACTGGATATCATCATCTCCCATTGCTGCCATGATCCGGTGTTCTTTCAAACTGAAGTCATCCTGCCGTTAACTTCACAAGGGAAAAATGGCATGCTAGGCACTGTACCTATTTCCACAATGTTTTTTATGCTCCTTGTGCGTTCCAAAAATGAAAATGCATGTGTTCTTGGCTTTTTCCAGCTTCCAACATCATAAAGCCATCTAATGTTGGCTTCAAATGTAACTTTAACTGAACATCCCAAGAGAACCAAGAGAGGAAGCCAGTCCATAGAAATAGTACAGCCTGCCTACACCTCTCATCTCCACCACCATGATGGACATAGAAAATATTGAAAGCACAGAGAAATAACTGTATTTGACTGTATTTGACTAACCCGAGGGGGGGAGGAAGAAATGCTTGTAATCACAAGCCTCACCATTCACTAAAACTAATGTCTGAATACAGGGAGGATATTCAGTATTCTGGCAAATCAAAGGTATCACTACCTGGTCCCTGACTCTGAGCATCTCTCCCTTCCTTTACAGACCTTCTGCTACCACATTAGTGGTGAAAACAAGCTAGAAGGAATAACTATACAAAGCAAAAGATAAAGCACTGGAATTTTATGAACAGCGGCTGGGAAATAGTCATCAAGAAAGCGGATTTCAAAAAGGAAACCCATGTTATGATCAGTCAGTGACCAGTTAGTCTTTGATCAGCCAACTCTGATAGGGCCAACAAGGAATACAAGAAGCAGTGGAAGTTCTATAAAAATGTGGAATAGAGCTAGAATATCAAATGTAGATTCTGGAAATCAGCTTTTAATTTCTCTTCTCATCCCCTTTCAAAACATTTTGAAACATTTTGAAACATCAATGAAACATTTTAAAACCAAGTAACCACTCACAATGAATAACAAGATTAGATAGAAGAAGCTTAGCCATCCATAAACACAGGCAACAGAAAAGCATATGAGCTGCAGGCTATAAAAGAACAGTGACTGTTACTGCCTAGTACTTGGCTTGGCCTAGGACATTAACGTAGGCTGGAGCCTGTTCTAAACAAAAGGGAAAGTAGCAAACTAATGCATTAGTTTGCAATGTTGCTGCTCCCCAAAAAGCCTTTTTACCTTGATTTGTCTTATATTACAGCAGCCCGAATCATTGAGAACATGGACACCACCGCAGAGCCTTGCAATGATTTTTACCAATATGCCTGTGGAGGATGGCTGAAGAGGAACGTCATTCCAGAAACCAGCTCCCGTTACAGTAACTTTGACATTTTAAGAGATGAACTAGAAGTTGTTTTAAAAGGTCAGTAGGGTTTATGTTTGTGGACTAGATAAAGTTTCTTCTTTGGCCTCCATGTAACTCTAACAAGGTGTGGTTATCCAGCAAAGCTTAAAATACTACTAAATATTTCATTTTCTTCACGTTCAGATCAGGAAAATCCACCACAAACCGTTTGCTTGGGGAATACCTTGGAGGTTACACTGTTGTGTCTGACACTGGAGCAGAGCCGACTCGAGCTGACCTTTCTGTTATCTGAACTCTGTGTGCTCATCTGCGTATTCTAATTTGTCTAATTACTCTCATGAACTAACAGCAGCAGGGAAGCCAGGTGACAAAGACTGCCAGCTGTAACGCTGGAAGCTGCTCACTGACAGCCCTGTCCTGCAGATCTCTATTCCAGCTGCTGCACCTCAAGCAGCAGGGAGCACTTCTCAAACATCACATCTGGGCCGATCAGCATTTCTGTCTCCACAAAAAGCAACACTGCCAAATCATCCATACTTACTTGTTTCAGACACAAGTAACAGTGTCAAAGAAACCATTGAGTTTATGCTCACAAAAGATTCTCAAACTGCTCTGGACACTGAACATCCTTTCCTTGCTCGCTTAGCTTCTGGTTTTACCAAGTTTGTGGTTCACAGATGTCACAGTTTCCATTTCTGCGGAGCAGGAGCGCCGAGTGCGGGCTGCCCTGGGGAAGGAGAGCCAGCAGCCCAGTGTGACTGCAGGGCAGCACAGGACAGGGCCTCACAGCTCCTTCCTCCCCAATAGAGATCAGATACTAAGGTACATTTGCTGTGTGTTCCAGATGTCCTCGACACACCGAGCAGCAATGACATAACAGCAGTGCAGAAGGCAAAAACTCTGTATAGATCATGCATAAATGAAAGTAAGTTCCTCCTGTATTTATTGCCTATAGGATACATAAGAATGATGTTAAGAAACAACTTCCAAAGGGAGCTGTATCTCCACACTTGTGGTTTCAGCACAGAATTTTTCAGTAGTTCTTCCTGAGTTTTAGAGAGTTACGTAAGAACATCAGCAGCACAATGAGCTCTGTGCGTCCTGTTCTGCGTGCTTTGATATTTTAAGTGCATCTGCATTACTCTTGAGCTTCCAGTTTGATGCAGATATTTGAACTCAAATCCCTGCAGTTAAATATGAATTAATTCTTTCTTAGAAGAGATCAGGTAGAAAATCTCTGGCATATCAAGGTTCTATAAAGACACAAGGGTCGTTTACTTCAAGAATTTGTGCTAGGTGCTTCGCTGAGGTGCAATGAAGCAGCAGTGCTACTTAAATAATTTTTTATATTTTCCATCCAATTATGAACATTTCCCAAAGGTATTATTTTAAGTTCTATTTACAGCTGAAATCCAGTAGTCCTGCAATAACATGGTCCTAGGGATTTGCATAAGTTGTTTGCAGTCATGACTGAAATGTATTTAAAACATCAAATCTTCAAGAAGAGGCATAGATCAGAATGTAATTCTGTTGTGCTGATGGTGAGAAGAGTTCTCAGGTTCAGAATTCTAAGCTCATTACAGTAGTACACAATTTGTATGTTCTAAAATGCCACATTAGTTCATTTCGTTTCTTCCAAAAGCAACCATTGACAGCAGAGGTGGAATGCCTTTGATCAGTCTCCTGGCAAATTTATCTGACTGGCCTGTAGCAACAAACAACTGGGAGTCTTCCTACGGTAAGACAATCTTCTCTGTTAAAATTCTAAATGACTTCTTTGTGACTGTTTACCAAAAAGAAGACTGAGTGCACCTTTCATTTGCCCAGGTGCTGCTTGGACAGCTGAGACAGCTATTGCACAGCTCAACTCCAGATACGGGAAGAAGGTCCTGATTAATTTCTTTGTTGGCACAGATGATAAAAATTCCTCAGCACACATCATTCATGTAAGTCTGCTGGTGGCATCCAACTGCTCATCATGTAAGTGTAGCAAAAGAACCAGAAAGCACAGACATACGTGTTAGCCAGGAGAAATGTTACTGGTCTGAATGTTACCGGTTGGACATGAGTTTGTGAATCTCTGTAGTTGTTCAGCTTCCCTTACGAGTTTGGCAGTGCAGTGTCCATTTTCAGGGTTAATAATCTTTATTCACTGTACTGGATTCTCAGGGAGGTGAGCACAACTGAGACATACATAGATACATACACACAATTCATAGGCACGCTGTCCAGAAGTCAGACATGATCTACTTAGATATGCATGCAAGCAAAAAAATAAGCATGGCTTCCTTTCCTTGCCCTTGAGGCAGAAATCCCTCTCACTGAAAACCTGGGCTGTGGTCCCAATGGCAAAAAAGCCTGCAGGGCAGGGGGCTGTTTTTATAATGTGCTCTTATGTCAAAGTCCAACAGGAACTGCAGTTCCCCATCCAAACGCAAAAGCAGCTGAGGACGTTTGCATAAGCAGTGTGTCCAGAGCACCCTGCTGTTAGGTGTAAGATGTCTCTGACAATGGAACATCCAGAGCAAGATGGGATTGCATACGGTGAATCTGCACTTGCTGCTCCCAAGACACAGCAGTTATAAGCAGTGGGGTCCAGTCATCTCAGCACCTGGGTGCAGAGATCCTCGGCTACTTTGCATGTATGAACTTCAAAGATGCAGGAGCTGCCCTGCTTGTCTGTGGACTGTTTTCTGGACATCCACTGCTTCGGCACGGATTACACACAGCATGCATTGTTCAGCAACAGAAAGAAGTCTGGAGAGAAAGACAAGAAGAATAAGGAGAGTGGAAAGAATTAAAGGAGCACAAGGGGATAGGAAAGACACTTCCCATAGGGCAGAGGATAACATTTCCAGAATGAAGCATCAGCACCTGTAATTGACCAAAGAGCAGCATCATGTGATGCCATTTTGTCCCTACACGTTTTAACTTTTACTTCAATTTACAGATCGACCAACCTGGGCTTGGCCTGCCTTCTCGTGACTACTATGAATGCACAGGAGCATACCAAGAGGTAAGATGGAGCTGACAGATCACTGACTACATTCCTGCACTTTTAGCCTATATATTCAAGGCAGGTGTATCTTCCAAGAGTGAGGTTGGCAAAGAACTGGAACAGTCTCTCCCCAGATTGATTCTAATACTACACTGGCAGAATCGAGTAACCTGAGACAGAAAGGTAATCATTATGAGCATTTAAACAATGCTGACCTACAGGTGAGAACAGTGTGTGACAGCCTGGAGGAAGAATCTGGGGTAAGTGTGCCAGTAGGCAAGAAATCAGGAGCTAGGAGAAAAGGAAAAGCAATTGCAGAAGATACGGATTCAAGGAGACCAGGGGGAAATAGAAATAAATGAGCTAAGAACAGGAGGCAGTACAAGTGTCCTGAAGAGGAGGTATTATATTATTATGCCATTAATGTTAGTGTCCTTGTTTGACCCTCCTGGCTGTACTAGGAGCCAAGTATTTTCCATCTAGGCTCCAGCTGCCAGTATTAACCACTTGTCCCTGCACTGGATGAGGAGGCTGCATATTCCTCTGGTATCACTGTGCATCAGAAATCCCAACCTGCCTCGCTTCCTTCATCATCCATTCTCTCTTTTAATTAACATACATGTGGAAGAAACAGTAGTTTTCCAAATAATTCCTGTATGAACATCTACTTTTTAGGTTTTTAGGTCCTCCTGAAAGGAAATAAACCTGAAACAGTTTGCCTTTATTATACATTTTCTGCTAGGCTTTACAGCTGAATCAAGACATAGCCCACACTGAGATAGCTAGAAGTTAAGTGCTTATGGATCACCTCTGTTCAGTGATCACAAAATGATGAACTATGATTGACTGGCATCAATCAGCAAGTGCTGAGAATGACAGGAGTCCAGGGATAGGGTTAGGACTAGGTTAGTCCAGATAGCACACATTTACTGCTGCTCTCATGCCCATAATGGGCATAGAGTGAAAGGATCCACTGGCTGGAGTTAACCTAAGTCAGAAGACATAATCTAATCATCCTGGAAATGACTTTTCTTATCACTAATAGGCTTAGGAACTAAAAAACACAACCATTTGGAACCAAAGATCACACCTGACTGCATAAAAGATTTGAAAAGATCACAGTCCCCTCAGTTAATTGCCTAATGAAAGCGCACCAGCTAAACTACGATATCATAGTAACTGCCTTAAATACTTAAAATCTCTCGTAGCCTTTAATTTGTGTTATTGTTTGCACATGATTTCATTAACCTGCTAGCACTGACTACACTGTGTATCCCTCACTGCCAGCCGTGGTTGTGCTCCAAGTCTTGGAGGGCTGAGGTGTACGTGAGGGCTGGAGCAGCTGGCGTGCTACCACAGTAACCTTTAATTAGCCAGTTTTCTTCTGGGTAACTAAATGCAGAAATTATGAAAAAGCACATCAAGCATGTTGTTATAAAGGTGTTTTGCTGACATGCTAATAGTTTATACTACAATTGAGATTACATTAAATTATGTATGGTGTTAACTGTTCAGCTCTATTATCACCCCGTTACCATGGCCTGGAGGAGATCATGTATCCCAGCTTGCTCCTTTCCTGCACTGCACCCAGTGCAGCACAGGAAACCACAATTTCTATTCTGAACGGTGACCTACCAGAAGGTATCATACTACTTTCCACTTCAGGAGTGTAGGGGGGAAGCATTTTAAAAAAAGAAACAGAGATTAGTCACTAAAAGGCAGATAAAGAACAGCCAGAGACTGGAACAACCTCCACCAGGGTTTAATATGCAATGGGACAGGACAGATGCTCTCATCCAGGCTCCCTGTTCCCATGAAGGTTGGCCCCACTGATCTTCTGGGCGCTCTGTGATTCTGTAACTGCATGTCTTACAGGCTTGAGCGCCCCATTTCACAGATGTTCCTCCTTTCAGTCCTTGTCCTCTGATAGCTCTGCTTGGCTCTGTTCCCTGCTGTCTCATCCTATTCTTTGAGCTGTACGCAGCAAACCAGCTACTGCCTCCTGCCCTTCGACCTCTGGCTTTGTCAGCACTTCCAGCCTCTAAGCCACAAGTGGAACGTCTATCATTTTTACAACTTCTTTTTTCTGTTTTAAGGGAATGCTCTTACAGGAGTTATTCTGACATCTAAGTTCCCTCTAAAATATCTGAGAATATTCATACAGTCCATCTGAAGTTAGCTGATGTAACTGTCTGCTCTGTGACATGCAGTGCTCTTCGCCTTTAAGCCAAAAATAAAGGGCACTGATTGCAACTCAAGATTTCTGTTGACTTGCTGGTTTGGGGTAATGTTTGTATTAATATACATTTAATTATATGTAGATTTGGGTATTTTGGAATGGTATTTGCAGGCTTGCTATGCGTTCTCTTTTGTGAGTTAACGTAGCTGTCAGTGGCTTAATGGGCTTTTCTCTCTGATAAAATAATCTGCCTTAATTAAAAAGAACACAGAGAGTTCAGTTGTGAGCCACCTCTCCTTTTCAAGTCTGCTGTCAATTCTGTTCGTGAGCTGCTCGGTTTTCCAGCACACGCAGGCATTGTTGGCAGGGAGGGGAGGCTGACAGGAGATGGATGGCAAAGAAAGGAGTCATCAGAATGGCCAAATAAACACAGCATTCATTAGCAGGGCTGTATCCTACTGCCTTAGGTAACTGGACACACCTAGAGATTGCTGTTTTATTCACCATGCACACCTTACTCATCCTACCATTCTCACTGTTTCAGTAGATTAAGGTATTTTGCATAAAATAGATTTATTACTATAGCTAACTTAGTACGTATTTACCTTGCCTTTAAAAAGTATATTGAAAACAGCATTTTGACCGAAAGAAAATTGAGAGTGGTTTATCAAAAGGAACTGGAATAAAATTAAGATCTTTAGATACTTGACAGTGTAAGGTTTAAGGAATAAACTTCTATGCTTCCTTTTCTATCCTTGGTAAATTCAGACATACTAAATTTCATGTATACGGTATTACCTGCAGTAAACAAAGCTCTGCTGAACTTACACCCAGCACAGTGATTTCTGGATGTTCCAGGTGGCCGTACAAGAGCTGCTGCTTCTGGGAGCAATGTGCCCACAGCACTCATCCCACACAGCCCATCTTCACTTCCCTGGCTTTTATGTTTCTGGGAACTCTGCTCCTTGGACACAGTATTTTTGGAAGTCGTAATTAAAGTGAACTAGAAAGAACAGAGGAGGTAGTTTAAATATGGACCCACAAATACCTCATTTTAAATACTGAAAACACAGTGCAGCAGTTGACAGCGCTTAGGTTTGAACAGTGCTACAAACAGTGCAGTACTTTTCCACGAGGGCATTTTCAAATTTCTATTTGTGATCTAACTGTATCTGAGAATAAATCACTGTGCAGTTATCAAAGGAGGAGATGAAGAACCATGCACTGTTCACAAAATGGAGAGGAAATCTTCCATATAATCAAGATATTCTTTGAAGAATTCTGACTCTGAAACATTTGTGTTTTTCCCTGCAGGCATGTTCTGCCTACGTTGATTTCATGATTTCTGTGGCTAAACTAATCCTACAAGAAAGAAACATTTCTTTCAACGAGACCCAGATTGCAGAAGAAATGAGAAGAGTCATGGACCTGGAGAAAGAGATTGCTAACGTGAGAAAACTCATTTTTAAAGTGTCTTTAAATACCTGACCTCCTTCATACCTACAGAAGCCAACTGCAAACTGTTGTTAAGCGACATGCTCGTGCTGCTTTGTGGGATCGAACGTTGAGCAAAAGCACATGGGGTCTGCAATACCTAAAAGGAACACTCACAAAGACACGCCTTCTAATGAGCAAGGGAAACAGGAGTTAGCTGTTTTCCAGAAACAGCAAATTGTTTTATCCTAATCTGTTCACAGAAGCCCTTCCAGGGAAAAGAGGGCGAGAGACAGGCTGGTTTCTGTTCTACCATAGAAAGTGCATTTTAGGAGATGCTGCTGGGGCCTCTTTTCCTTTTGTCCTTTTCTTCACGCAGGCTGCTTGGTTATCAGAGCAGCTGATCGCCATCCCTTGGCTTGCCACGCAACACAAAGTAATGTTTGTCCTACACAAGCTGCTCCACAATGCTGATTGTTTCAAGTGCATTTTAATCGAATGCCTGTTCTCCAGAAAGTATGCCTGGGAGAAATAGCTAGAATTTCAACTTGCACTGAGAAAAACAAGTGGAAATGAAAGCATTCAGGAGCAAGCAAGAACTTGGTCTGTGATTATTAAACATTCCAAAACCACCTGAAGATGAGGATGACTGTAAAATAGTCAAAATACAGATTTCCTAGCTTCGGCTGGTTTTGTAAGTTATGCTGACAGTGAGGGCATGTGTTTGGCAGAGGTAGACCTAACCACTCCATTTGTGTAAACTAAAGCCATCTGATTTTGATTTCCTTCACATTCTCCTGAGAAACACCCTTCAGGGTTTAGATCAGAGATAGAAAATTATTCAAAGAAAAGGAATTTACTGGGGAAAGATTTGAAGGGGAGCAAGAAAGGAAACAAAGTGGCATTTCCCTACAGCAGTGGCTGCCGATAAAGAGCACCAATGGCCAGTGCCTCCTTTTTTGACAAACCTGCCTGGTGCAGCTCAGCAGGCACAGTGCTGCCGGCACAAAATGGCCTGCAGTGGAGCCAGAAGGAACTCCGTAGCACAGGCGTGCTGATCAGAAAGCACACACAGCCTGAGGAAATGCTATCAGTACGTACACAGAAGGGGTTTCGCACTTCTGCAAACTCATAGTAACGTATTAAACCTGAAACAAGAATGTTTTCTTTCTACTGCTGCTCACCAAAATTCCTGTGAACTGACTCAATCTCTTCATTAACTTTGATAGGCAACAACAAAGTCTGAAGATAGAAATGATCCACTTCTGCTGTACAATAAAATGACGCTGGCACAACTCCAGAACAACTTTTCGTTGGAAATAAATCATACGGTGAGTGATAATTAATACTGATATTCTTGGCTGATGAGATTAAATGATGAAGCTTGACGTTTTTCTTAATCTCACACAAATGTGAAGTCAAACAAGATTCCGGCATTGCACTGCCTATTATTTATACACCTGCTGAATCACACTATGCACAGAAGTCTGTGCTTCCATACCCACAACTCCTGCTGACTTGGAGGCAGATCTTGCACCTCTGCTTCAACACAAAGAGATCGAAAAGACTGCAGCCAGCAATTCATTCTAGTCTGCTGTACAACTGTGTCTGACTGTTCAGGCCCTCTGTGCTCATCCAGGGCTACAGATTCAGACCAAAAGGTCCTTTATTTCCCCAGCATTCCCCCTGTAAGATGACCACCCAAAGCAAGCAGAAAAGCCCTGGACACGATGACCACGCGTGAGGAGAATTCTGCCCATTCCTCCCACTGTGGCTCCCCCAGGACGTTTCAGCTCTGCCCTGTCTCCCATCCTGAGTCACATGCCACTTCCACAGCATGACCTTTAATTCACGGACCACAAAGTCCAGCTAAAGAATATCTAAAGATGCGATAACGCAGGCGTGCCGCCCCAGCAGCACCACGCTCGCTGGACGTGCTCACCATAGCAGCTCCTGCTCCGCGCCCTGCACGCAGACAAGCAGGTCAGCAGGGCGCTGTGGCCTGGCTGCAGGACTGCGTTCAGGTACTATGAAATAACACGATTCCCACCCCAGTTTCATAGCCTGCTATTTTTATTGACTTGAAATTCTTTCATTTTAAATTTCATGACAGTTTCATTCTGAGTAACTCAATTAGTTTCATAATTTACCTCTTCCCACAGATCCAACTTGACAAGTTACCATTACAGTCATAATGTCAGAATGCAATCATCATGTCAGAAGCTAACTTGTTCACAGAACGGTATTGCCCAGGTTATTTTTAGTTTCTGGGGAGTACTGTAGATCAGCAGCAATCATCTGCTCTAAATTTATCCAAAAATGCTCAAAAGACACATGGTGGGAGTTGGTACTGTTGTTGTAATGGCCTAAGGATAGAACAGCAATTATTCCTAAAATTAGCTTCAAGTTTGGTGCTTCTCTTTCAGAACTGAAGAGATTCTACTCCCGAGAGCTCATCTGATTTCCTCAGCTAGTTTGTCTGATAAAAGATGTTACCTCTTCCCACTTTCCTCTCAAAAGAACCAGACTGGGAAAAATCCCCATTGCTCTCAGACAAATAAGCATAATGAGCATTTTAAAAATTAACAAAATGTGTTTTTTTTTTCTTCAAGCACAAGGATTATTTGCTTTTCTTAAATGCAACATTCCTTTCCACTACGAGCACCCACCCAGCCTCATAAGAACACAAAGTGGCTCTACAGTTTTGATTACGATTTAAAGCTTCTGATTTGAATTGCTTTCTAAGTCAAACTGGTCCTCAGAGCCTCGTCTCTTGCAACACGGACCGTGGGCCACGTAAGGAATTTAAAGTAGCCTGTATAGAAACAGCTGTAAATCAGTGCCATTTATTCACAAGGTGAATGGCTGAATTGCTGCAAGAATACACAACTCTGCACAGGCTGCGAGCTGAAAGATCTGTCTGTACCAGCCGCTATCACACAGCGGACAACAGAAATGCTCTGCAGATTGCTGGATGTCAGCTCAGGTGTGAACCTCCCAGCTGGAGCACACCGAGCCCAGGCAGCGCGCAGCAGTGCTGGCATGCAGCACACGCTCAGGAAGGAGGCACTGCCTGCTCTCCGGCCACTGCTGCTCCCTGTCTCCTTTCTGAGGCACGCGGTATCACTGACCAAAGACCAAGCGAAGGGAAATAGGTTTTATCAGCCAACTATCAAGAATTTCCTGTTTAGAGTGCCCACAGTAGAAAAACACTCTGTTCACATGGGTGGATGTGACAGAATGAAAACAGCAGAAAAAATCTTCCCAGGTACTGCCCACGAGTGCTGTGTGGGGCTCAGGCGAATGCCAGCATAAAGCACGTGGGGTTCTGGCACCTGGGAGGCAGGAAACAACAGAGAACATTGATCGTAGTGAGAACTGTCTGCCGTGGCATCCTGCTGTCAGGTGCTCGTGGACCTGCTACCAAACCGCTTCTTATTCAGTATATCACAGCATGGCACACAGAGGAAAATTCTGTACAGACAGTGGATTTAGTGTGTCTGTTTGAAAGCCTATTAGAATCAAGCTTTTCGTGGACTTCAGCATACTTCAGAACAAGCCCTTGCCATGTGCCTGACAGAGGATGCCACAAATACCACAAACTTCACACTGCTCCGTATCTGCAGAGCCACATCGTGCTGAGCATTAAAGCTTTTTATCATGCTTTGATTTAGAAAACCTCAGCTGTATACAGCAAAAGAATTAGTGAAATTTTACTTAAAACACCTGTTCTGCTTTCCCAGGCTAAATGGAAAGAGCCGTAATGTTTTTAATTGTGTTATACTGAAAATAAAACAACGTCTGGACCCCTTCTGCTGGATACCATCCTATTTTAATAGGATTTTAGAGCACAGGGGACATAAATGATCCCAGATCAGTTATTACTGTGATGACAACATTCACAAGCAGTGAAGCTGGTGGGAGATCAGCACAGTTGTGCGAGGGAAACGTATTGCTAAAAGTAGCTGAAGGCTGTTTCTGGAGGATTTGTCCTTAAATAATATGTATTCCTTTTCCAGGCATTCAACTGGTCAAAATTCATAAATAATATAATGTCAACTGTACAAATTGACATTGAGAATACGGAACATGTGGTTGTTTACGACCCAGAATACCTTACCAAGCTGAAGTCTATTCTTAATAAGTATAGCCCCAGGTAGGTATGGTAGCTATCTTTGCAATTTGCATTTTATTTCCAGTGTATTTCAAAAGCCTAAAAACGTTCCCAGCTTATTATCGTTGTTTTATTACATAGAGAACTTCAAAACTACATGATCTGGCGATTCGTAATGGACCTTGTGAACAGCCTTAGCCGCAACTACAAGGATACCAGGAATGCTTTTCGTAAGGTGCAGAAATTAATCTTTCTTTTCAAGTTGTAAAAATGATCGTTGTTAACCAAAAAAGATAATTCCTTAATGGCTGTGCTGTATAAAATGTAACGTATCTTGAATGCTGTGCACAAAAGCCAGACGTGCTTGCTAAAGCTCCAGCTGGAGTGTACACCTCCTTTATACCATCTATGTTAATAGCTGAGGTGGATCTGAAAGGCGCTGCTCTGCTACTTGCTCTGTTATTTCCAAATCTGCATCGTTCCCCTGATGATACGGTCATTTTGGTAACGGTCCCACTTGCTAGCATCTTATGCAACAGTTTGGATTGGCTTGCTAGAAACTCCTCAGCATCCAAAGGAAGAGAGTCACAGTGAAACAGGATGGGTCTGGTCTCCTTTTTCAATCATTTGATCTTGCAGATATTTCAGTGCTTATAAGGAAATGCTGAGCAATCCCACAAAGATTGCAGATGGAAATCTTTGCTATTGCCCCAGTTGAACTTTCTGCTTTTAAGTTTGCTGAGCAGCATTAAAAAGCAGTTAAGGCCATTTTGCTTCATCTATCAGTGACAGAGGCAACATTTCTATGCACACACGCAGCATTTTAAGGAGATTCTTCCTGTTACCAAAACAAAATGGAGTAATTACTGGTGCGAGCTAATGGAGATTTAGTTTGATCAGGTTGATATACCTGAACAGGGACTCGCATTCATTAATTACTTCTTCTTTTTCCCCTGCCTCTTAAAGCATGAAATTTTCAAAATGAATCTTCCTGTTTGCTTAGTCTGCATCATTGAGGAATGTTTCCACAACATCCTAGGACTTCACTGAGGAAGTGTCATTTAGAAAAATGTCAAAGTTTGAAACAACAGAAAAGGACCTCGCCACTCTACGTATAAAAACCACCAACTTTTCTACTAATTAACTAACAATACGTGATATAACGTAGCTGAAGCTTCTCAGAATAAGTGCAATTAATTGAAACTAGCGTTTCTCTTGTTAAGTTTGCTTCCAAATGTAACTACGTTTCTGCTGTGTGAGGCAGGTGTCAATCCTAATGCACCAGGCACTGCACGCATACAGACCCACAGCAATCCCTTTCTACTGCAAGTCACTACTACCTGTATGGCAGCATCTAAGTTCTCATTCCTAGAGCAGCACACAGCTTTCTACACCAGCAGCACACAGACACAGCTGTCACTGGAAAACACAGCCTTGATGCTGCAGGAATGGCTCTGCTGTACAGCTGTGCAGTCACGGCGGCTGCCAGAGCTGCCCTCACTACAGATCCCTGCGACACCGCGAGCTCTGTCTCTGGGTATTCCTCTTTAACCTCTCCCATTCTTGGCTTTTAGAGTAGTTTTCTTCTCTCTACCTTACATGCTTTGAAAAGATAAAGAGCATCACTAATGATTCATCTCTTTCCTTGGCCTGTGCAGGACATGCCCTTCACAGTGAGTCCATTTAGCTGCCGTAAGTACAAACAGGAGCTTCAGCACTGACTGAAGACCCATTAGGTTCCTCCGAGTGCACATCTGCTCATCAGTCCATCCTCAGGTTCCTCGTGCCCTGAGATCACTGCTCTCTCTGCCCTTTCTGTCTCACAGGCTCTGTACGGCACCACGTCAGAAACGGCTGCTTGGCGTCGCTGCGCCAACTACGTCAATGGCAACATGGAGAACGCGGTGGGACGGCTGTATGTGCAGGAGGCCTTTGCTGGAGACAGCAAACACGTGGTAAGCCTTCCAGCAAACTTCCCGTGTGCCATGCAAACATCATTTGTCGCTTATTGTGCTTCTATAAAGGTTTGATCACGCTTTCGATTCAATTCCTCTGTGCAGCAGGGTCACTTCCTAAAAGACCTAACCTTTGGATTTGCTTCTCATGCAATGTACCAGTGAGCAGTGACAAGAATGCACGTGCTACAAGAGTCCTTCCCTTACACCTCAGCACTTCTGCATTGCTAATTCTGAGCTGGCTTGCTTCCATTCAAACAAGCACACTGTGAAGTAATGTGAAACACAAAGAGACCGTGTGTGCACACGTGGGGGCAGGAGCTATCTGTGTGCCCATCTGCCCCGTCAGCTGGCCCTGAACCAAAGGCATGCAGCCACGCCAGCCGTGGGCCATACATGACCAAGGAGCAGCCCCTGCCAGAACCAAGGCACTGCTTATCCTGTGCACTGCTGCCGCTTCACATCCCGCCAAAGTGCGGCACAGGGACAATTAGTTCTTTCTCTCTGCCTTCACTCACACAGAGTATTTCTGAAAACATACCCAAAACGAAGATGCGGTTGCTTCCTATCACTCCTTCTGCCATTAAAGCTTGAAATACACCATTTTTTGTGGTTGACATATATAAAAATAATTCCACCAGATGCCCAACGTGCAGCAGATGGACAAATGACAGATTCTTTGTAAGCTGAACCATCATTGCTTTGTGAGCTCGTGCCCATTCCCAGGCTGAAAGCACTCCTTAACTTGAGCTCCAGAGCTTGAGCATGGTCCATCAACAGCACACACAGTCAGCCAGTGCAGGAGAAACAGGATGGTGATAATAAACCACATATAAGCCAATAAGCCATAACTGTGGAAAAATAACAGAATAGTTTCCATGGATCTGTAACATACTGGTGTTTTTGTTCCAAGGTGGAGGAAATGATTGCAGATATACGTGGTGTTTTTATAGAAACCTTAGATGATCTCACCTGGATGGATGCAGAAACCAAAAAGAAAGCAGAACAAAAAGTAAGTTCAATCTTAAACATTGGACATAGTGTGTGTTTCTCTGAAAAATAAGTATACAACTGCTCATTTTCCATAACAGAAAAGCAGTAACACTTTTGTATGCATGTATGTATGCACGTGTGTACATAAATGCATATATACCTTTCACAGAGGCACAACAGCTTGCAGACTTTGTGTGTCAGATTCAAATTACATGGGCAGGGGCCTCTCTGGAAATAAGATTACAAAATGGGAGATATCTATATGAAAGAGGAAGGCCTCCCAGGCAAATCAGTGATTAAGTGGATAGATAACGAATATCTACAGGAAAGTAAGTTTGAAAATGAGAAGGAATGATTTGTGGTGATTTAAGCAGCTATTATGAGCGATAGGACAAGAACAAAGAGTTAAACCATGGGCTGGAGATCTTCAGTGAATTGTCCTTTGAGGGAAGAAGCAGCTTCAGACAGGTCATGCAAGTCTGGAGTAATGAAAATCAACTGTAGAGAGCACTGAGTTGGGTAACTGAAAGCACTTGACTATATCTCTAGTTTGTTTTATCGTAAGGATAAAAAGTCTTCCACTTTGAGTTCTTACTGATATTTTACTATGAAAATAATAATGCTTGGAAAATGTCATTTTTATATTAATTGCAGAGCAGGACCTCCAAATTTTTGTGCTACAGAATCTTAGGAAAAAAACATTAAAAATAACTATTCAAGCATTACTGCTTTATCAACCATCTCTAGACTGCACAGCCTGCAAAAACACATGATTGCAACAGATACCTCAGGCAGGCACAGCATCCGCTGGGCTTATCCCAGCTCTCATGGGATCACATAGCACAGATGCCATCTTATCGGCTGGTGCAAGTGCACCCCTGGGAGGAGAAAGCCTCAATAGCTGCATGCACCAACCAGGTATAACCACCCAGTAACTCCTGATCAGGAACGGCCGTGTAACTGATGGACCAAACTGCAAACCCTATGAATTCTGTGCTAATCGTAGACATCAGCAGTGCATTTACAAAGCCCCTAAAACGCTTCTACTGCTGCAAACAACTTAACTGACAAGATTAAATGCAACCACTGGAAAAGCCCTGATGCACCCCACAGGATGCTTATAATGTTCATTTGTTTGGGGAAACAGCCTATGTCAGAAAATTAGTTGCATAAATAATGTGATTTTATTGCTAAATTTATTAATGCATGATTATATGGAAATATTAGAAAGAGCTGCCAAGTGCCACTTGGTTTTTGTTTTGTTTTTCAATTGCTTCTGGCATTGTCATCAAGTACAATGAATGTTTAGCTATGGAAAGGCGTGCAGTGAGGTCTGGGGGAGAAGCCTTTGTTAGGACTTAAAATTGCCAAAATCTGAGAAGATTTTAATAAATGGTTTCAGTGCAATCAAGGGACATGAGAGCTCATTAAACATTCTGTTATAGACTCAAACTGTGGTTCTGGAAAATTGTAAATGTGACTTCCTACAACTTCATTAACATGAAGTTAAAAACCTTCCAGACATTAATTTTAGTCCATTTTAAATACTGTAAAATCTGTCAGTTTTTTTCAAGAGATCTACTATTGGTTCAACCTTCCAGCTCAAAGGCATCGCTGCAGGGCTTTTGGCATCCTGGGCACATCTCTCTAAGTTCACTGATAAAGGAAGGAACGAGATACTTTCTGAAAATTCCAGTGTTACAATTAACAGTAAACATTATAGTGCTTTCCATGATTAAAGAAAATAAAAACTGCATATCATTAAAGGTGTGGGCTCTCTGCAGTTGCCTACCTAGTTGATTGATCCAAAAATACAGGTAGATTTGCTGTGGATATCAAACTGTCTTTTCCCTAGGCAAGAGCAATTAGGGAGAGGATTGGCTACCCAGATGAGATCATGACAGATGACAACAAGCTGAACAGCGAGTACCAGGAGGTAAGCATCCACAACAGGCACGTAATTAGAAAAAGGTCTTGAGAGAGAAACTGTGGCTTTATCTTCATAACCGAATCATCTGCGTCTGCACAGAATTCCTCAATCTTGTCCTCAGTTCTACTGAGGTAAGTAAGAATGCATTAAAATTCAGTGTAATACAGCTGATCCAGGACAGATGGTGACGTGTGTTTGGTTACTTCAAGGGAATGTGTAAATTGTAGAGGAGTTCTGCTAAGATAAAACGTAGAGCCAGCAGTGTTCAGCCTACTGTTCCTAAGTCTATCACAGATTTAACACGGTTTGAAGCAGATGCAAGGGTTTGTAACTTAGTGACTCCATCTGTTTATTCATGAATGCAAACTTGCTCCTGCGGTACCATGTGGACGACCTGCAGAACTCAGACTGCATCAAACACCACCTCTAAGTATTTTTCCTTCTTTCCATGCAGCTGAACTACAAAGAAGAAGAATACTTTGAAAACATCATTCAAAATTTAGTATTTACCCAGAAGAAAAGACTGAAAAAGCTTAGAGAAAAGGTGGACAAAGAGGAGTAAGTATTTAAAAATACCTTATATAAATCTTCACTCGGTTTGTACAGGAGGAGGTACGCAGTTGGAAGCCAATCAGCAATGGTTTGATTACTTTCCTGCACTTTTCCCCCCTTTCAGAGGGCAGGTTGGAGGGCATTGCTCCCTTCTCAAAGGCTGGACCTGCTTTAACAGTAGGATGATGAAATCAGGGGGATGGAATGGAAGGCTGAGCAGTGGAGTAGCTCTAGTCTGGTCTCTTAGCTCCTGGAGTGGATTAAGCGGACTCTTGGAGAGCAGGTTTTCAATTAAGTTTATCTGAAAGATGAATTTCATCCCCATGTGTTATTTCTCTTGTATGGAGATTACTGCACAATGCCAAACAAAGCACAATTAAATGAGGATAAGCAGGAATTTACTTCAGAAGTGCCCTCCTCTGAATTAACGCAGATAAACCAGGAGACAGAGAGCTGGGACTGTTCAGCTTTAAGGAGAAACGACAGCAGGGGACGGGAAATGGGATCAGTGGAAGTACTGATGGGCAGAAGAGCAGAGCGAGCATCCTTCTCTGTGGTGTCTAGTGACAGCACGAAAGACAATGAAATACAAGAAATTCCACTTACATCTCAGAAACAACTACTTTTAACAGTAAGAGCAGTCAAGCACTGGCACAGTTTGCCCAGAGAGGTTCTACATTCTCCATCCTTGGAGACATTCAAAACCTGACCAGACATCATCCTGAGCAACTTCCTCCAGCTGACTCTGCCTTGAGGAGAGGCACAGGACTTAAACGCCTCCCAGACTCAATTATTATGCAGTTCAGTCTGTATGTTTGTACCTGTGGTTATTAACTCTGCCATTAAGAACTGAAATTCTAACTTCTGTTTCCTGTTGTTACTAGGTGGATAAGTGGAGCTGCTGTTGTCAATGCTTTTTATTCTGCAAGTAGAAATCAGATAGGTAAGGTTTACCAAATTATTACTAAATGCTTCCAGAAGAATTTTTCTTTTTTCATTTAGTCCCCATTAAGGAATTGAAGAAGCTGAAGGAGTTCCAACAGTCCTACATTTGTAGATGTTGCTGATTCAGGCCATCTATTAAACAGATTCCTGCAAATGCGATCCTGACATCTCTCACTGGGCTCCAAACTCTGCAATAGCTTGCACTTGCAGAAGCACAAAGTTGCTGGTTTGGGGAGAAAGGGAATGCAGCACTCAGCCTTAACTCCATGCCAGCAAGAACAAGGAGGAATGGAGAAAACTCCTTGTGTTGGTGCAAGCAAGGATGCTTGTGAAAGTTCATTAACTTTTTCAGTGAACCCAAACTATTCTGGCTTGGCAGGGGTAGGGACAAAGCTGTGTGACTTAACTGGCATGCACTGCTTACACTTCAGGATGGCAAGAAAGTGCAGTCATTTTGGTAGGTGGTGTGAGCATTTTGAGCCTATTGCCAAGCATTCAGCATAAAGTTCTGCTTAGAAGGCTTTGTTTAAAATAGTTTTGTTTAATAATTTGCAGAAAAGAAATCATGATTTGTAAGATTGAGGCTGATGACTGGAGGTTAATCTGAGCCATAAATTCTTACCTCATCCTGCAGCTATGGCATATCAGGATAATTAAAGCAGTCTGATCTTTAGAGTGATGTCTGCCTTAGCTTAGTAACATTCTTTAAAAACAAGAAAGAACATAACCTCTAAAAAGGAGTTTTATGCAGGATATGGAGGAAATTTAGAGCTCCATTAATGCATCTTCACAGGGCTGTGATCCTCACGGTTCCAGCAGCAGCACTTAAAGCAGATCTTAAAGAAGCCACTCAACACACAAAAAAAAAACCAAACCAACAGTGGAAGAGCTGTTAGTAAGGCAGTCCAGCATTTCTTCCTTTGAGTACCGGCACCCCCTGCCCTGCAGCCGTACCAAACAGAGCAGATCTGTGCTCCTGACTGTTTGGGGAACGCTGTGCAACACAGTCACTCCTGACAAAGGCGTTACGGTTTGCAAACACATTCAGGAAGAAAAGCAGCGTGTTCTTTTGTGCAGGGCTGCACAGATTCTGGGGGAAACACTTCGTGCTTCCTCCTGCCTTGGAGTTCCCAAAGCTGATTAGCAGTCTGTCTTTTATATCCCAAAGGAGTTCCACTTCCTTTCTTGTCTGAATCTCTGTACCTCACTATAGGAGGAATGCCTAACCATGTTTTATGTAACAGAAGTCATGGAATAAATTTGTTTCCTGAAAGGCAGAGTAGAAAAAAAAAATCTATGAACTGTGATCTATATGTGGATCAGTATCTATGAATTGAACAAACAAATGGTTACTCTAAAATTGGCTGAGGGGACAGGGTGTTAATTGAACTGAACTCAAAGTCCTGGGAGCTGCCCGCCTGCTGGAAGGGAAGGTGCTTCTTTGCCAACAAGCAAAGGCTACGCTGAGCTCCCAGTGATTCCAGCTGTGTTCAGGCCACCAGGACTGACGCCCATCATTCTGAGCAAACACCTTGTTAGGCGTGGGCTTCAGGGAAAGAGCAGCTTTCTGATGCTGTACCCCAAGGATTGCTTTGTTTTTCCAGTCATCAAAATACCCATCGCACAGTGCAGCATTTATACTGCTGTCTTTGCTAACAGCATCCGCTAATAAAAACGAACAGAGAAACACGCAGGTAATTTAATGCAATGTCAAAGTAACAATGACACAGAATTACTGTGACAGCAGGCAGCAGTTTGCACAGGACAGCAGCAATAGTTCATTTTCTAACGTCTTCTTTTTCTTATGATTCTTTCTCCTCTTGAAAGAAATGCGCAGAACTGTACTGGGATTTACAAGGAAACACAAGCAGCGTGTTCTTCTTCATTCACAGTATGAGAACTGTCAAATAATTCCTTTGCATGCAAGTTTTGCATCCAGAAAGAGCCTTTTAAGAAAAATCTTCATTTATAAAAGGTCACAATTGAAAGATGATTTATTTTTACTAAATCACTTCCTGAAAGCACATAGAAATTAGCACAGAAGTGGGTAAAAAGCTCTTTGTTCCTATTCTTTTACTGCTAGTGTGGCCTGTTTGCCTTGGTCCTAGTGGGTGTTACTGCGAGTTACAAAAGAACAGATTTCTCTGAGATTGGTTTCAAGTGGGGACAACCATCAAGGCATGTTTTCACCCCCGAGGAACACCTTGCCATCTTTCAGGACCTTGTGACACATATATAATAAAGCTACAGGAGTCTGAGCACGCTAAGGGCTGCAAACTGGAAAAGTCCAACGGCTCTTTTTGCAAAACTGAGTAGTAACAACACTGACACTGCTTGTGATTATGCAAGTGTCCCAAGAGCTGCTTTCCTTCACGCCAGGCCTGGGGAAAGGGAGCGGCCGTGCTGATCCGGCCCTTATTCCCTACAGCCATTACCACGTGTAAATAAAATCAGTGTTGCTGCTCAATCTGAGGGAATAGCGTGACTTTGGCACGACCGGCACATCTGTAAAAACGGTCTGTTCACACAGAGCTGAACCAGGCACTACCTTAATCGTGTTGGGGTTCTTTTTGCAGTCTTTCCTGCTGGCATTCTGCAGCCTCCTTTCTTCAGTGCATCTCAGCCCAAATCTCTGAATTACGGTGGCATTGGCATGGTCATCGGTCACGAAATCACACACGGGTTTGACGACAACGGTAAGGTTGAGTTTCTAGTTACAAAGCATAGAGCACGCAGAATATTGTACAGGTTTTTGTGCTTCGTCATTCCAGCGAACAAACAAAACAAAGACCAAGTTTCCAATAAAAGACAGAATTTGGATTTCTGAGGTGTTACGGTGCTGTTCCCCACGATGATTTCCAGAAGAGCCAGCCAAAAGGTTTCCCAGACACTCATCTCTCACTGCCAGGCTGCAGCCTGCAGACCCGCAGCACACACAGCCTTTAGCCTTGCACCTGGTCACTAACTTTTGCCAAAGGCTCCACCAGAAGCATTTTCTTAGAGGAACAAAGCAAACAAAGAACCGAGTGTAAGATCCGCGACATCCCAAGCAGTGTGTGCCACAAAGCAGGTCTAGCTGTGAACTCAAGGACCCAGGTGCTAGACCTGCTGCCCAGCCACAGCCATGATTCCTAACAGAGCCTTCCTCGCACCTTCTAATTCAGCTGAATAGTTTGTTTTGTTAGTTTGTTTTCTTCCTTATCTGGAATGCAGCCCTTCCAAAAAAAAAAAAAAAAAAAAAAAGGAAAAATAGGAGCATGTCATCTGTATGACTGCCTCATTGGAGAGAGATTCTTTTTATGAGTGATTATATTTATTTGCTATGCTTCTTCATGCATCAAAAGCTTCTTTTTTTCCCGTATTCATCATTCTGCTAAAATATTGTTACAGGCAGAAATTTCAATGAGAATGGAGACCTCGTAGACTGGTGGAGTGAAGAATCTGCCCGCAGTTTTAAGGACTTATCACAGTGCATGGTGTACCAGTATGGAAACTTCTCATGGGACCTAGCAGGTGGACAGCAGGTATGCCATATTCATTTGTAACTACCAATGTTCACCTTTTTTTGATGAGAAACCACAAAAATCTTACGTTCTAAATACACAAAGCCTTTTTCACATGAACGGCTGAGGAAAAACAGCAACAGATTCTTAAAAACAAAGATAGCAACTCCATACCTATGCTGCCAGTTCTGAACAAGGCAGGTGCTGTCCTGTCTGAGTGGCAGCCCTAGAAGACGTTGCTCTAGGAGCCTTCATGGGCCCTCAAAGGCTCTTCTTTAATTCCATTAGAGCAGGAAAAAAAAAAATACATGCAAGCTTGATCTTCTTTCCCTACAGCATCAAAACAAACCTAGCTTGCTGCTTTCCTTCACTCAGAAGTTTCTTGCTCTTTCCTGAAGATAAGCATCTCAATTAGAAAGCAATCAGGGTTGAGAAGAACCAGGGGACAGCAGGAGTGCAAGGAAAAGATGGAAAACAGCCGACCTAAATGTAACTGCACTGATAGCACTGTGCAGCTATCGGCATTATTACTGTCTGGAAGCCCTAATTCCATGAGAACAGTTGCAGGATCAGGTCTGTCTGACATCACCTGTCGGTGGTAACACACACCAGCAGGCAGCGGTGAGGCAGGCAGTCCTCATGCTGACCATGAGACCAGCCCTGTTCCCATCGACTGCAGGCTGTGAAACTGCAACTGGAAGCACCAGCTCTGTCTACAGACTCCATACACCACTCTGTACCTGCTATGCAAGAAGGTATTTCCCTGACTACCACTGCACGGTCTTTACGGAGGCTGACAATAAATCCCATTCTACTCAACAGGGAAAAGATAAACACTACTGTGCTGAGGATTTCCTCACCACTTTTTAAACAGCTGGGACCAACAGGGAAACCTTAAAGGAAAAGAATTTTTCTGCATGTTTATCTGCCATTTTTCACAGATTAAGTTCAATGTTCTGGCTTTGAATATTGTAACCCAGGTCCTGGGCTGCAGGTCAGAAGTACGTCTTAAAAATACACTGATGGTTCCTGTATTACCAAAGCTTCATCACATTAGTGATACCTCACTGATTTATGAATACAGTAAGAGCTAAATAGTTTTATTCTCTGCATTTTGCTACCAAAGAGATACACAACTTGCCCAGTATCCAGGAACACACTGAACGACTTCCTAGCAGATTTGCTGATGTCTGTTAACTGGTAATTACAGCTACCTGCTGCTTAGATTTAACTTGTTTTGTAGACCATGTGGACAGATGTCGCCAACTTCCCCTAATAGGAACTGTGTCAAGAACGTGAGCATTAAAACCACAGAGAAAATAGGAAGAATGAATGAACACACAACTACGCATCAGAAATTGAGTAAAAGAGATGCAAGGTCCTAGAAAGCCCCTGTGTGGGGAGAAAGAGGGTTAGGAAAAACAAGAGTGTCTGCATGGATTTTGAGATAAGGGAAAAGGAGACTTCTCAGAGATCCTCTCTGTCACAGTCTTCTACAACTTCAGATTTTAAGGGAATTCTCCCCATGTAAAAGTGAATTAGGCACACCATTTGGCATCCAGACCCTGGATAAGCTCTTCTTTCCAGAGACTGTATTCTCTTTTTCTTTTACAGCTGAGTGGAATTAACACACTAGGAGAAAACATTGCTGATAACGGGGGTGTTAGACAAGCCTATAAGGTAAGAAGTATCCATTTCTTTATTCTAGCTGAAATCATCATAGGTTAAGACAATTCATTCCACAGCATTTGAAGAAGCAGCATTGCTTTTGTGGTAGGGACAGGACCACACCTATCCTGTCATCAAAGCACAGTTTAAAACCATTGACAACTGCTGTATTTCTTTCATCCCATTAACTGTCTCAGGCCACATCTGAACAATCACCAAACTGAACTGATGATACTGAGCAGCTCTGGCTACCTGTCTTCACCAGCTTTTCTGTACCAGGAAGGAGCAACAGAATGATTTTCTTCTCAACTCTGTCAACAAACACAGGCAGTTTTTGTTGTTGTTTTAAATCTCTGCCTGCATGAACTCTATTCACTACGTACACTGTTCAGAATCTTGTCTCATACAGCATCCCCTGGGCAGGTATCCAAAGATGTCAGTGATATCTGGATGCCCCGTCCTAAGCCCTCTGTGGGGAGCTTGTCTGATTTCTGGTTTTCCTTTCATTCTCTCCCTGAAACAGAGATCTACTTCTTCGGATTTGCCATCTCAGAGACTGAAAGTAAAACAAGTCTTTTCTTTGTGACAGGTTGAGAGATGAGAACCAAGTCAGCTTCTCCAGGCCTTTTCCATGTTGCTTACAAATCTGACAGTGCAGGCCATCGTAACACAATGCTTTGTCTCCTTCCCTGAGCACCCTGTTCTGTAGCAAAATACCCACCACTGGAAAACACCACTGCTGTCACTGCTCAACAAAGTGCCTGCTGGAATGCACAGGCCAAGTCACACCACTCCTGCAAGCAAGGCCATCAGCAACACTCCCAGCAATAGAAACAGGAATGTTTGAGGGCAAATACTATCATGAATGAGAGATTAAAAATGACTTGAGTCTAAAAGAGGAGTCAGTAGGTCATAATAGATCACTCTGATCTTCAGTTACCTGAATACTTACACATGAAAAAAACAACACAAGCCCACGACAGCGCCTTCCCTTTCTGAAAGGAATGGGCATAGACAGAAAAAATAAAAAAATCAGAAGTGTTACCAAAAAAAACCCAGTTGGATTTCCCTAGTTATGACAATATCAGAAGCAGTAAAATAAATACATAAATAAGAATAAACCAGAAGGAATCTTGAGAGGCCATCCAGTCCACCCCCACCCTTGCAGGCACAGCCAACCACTCAAACACTCTGTAAGAGAAGATCCACCACATCCTTGCTGTAGTTTGAATGCTATCACAACCTTGCTATCAAGATGGAAACAAAGAACAATCAATCAAGAAACAAAGAACAATCTATTCCTTCCTTTTCAGCCACCTTTTACATATTTGAAGACTGTTACGTAAAGCACAGACTTCTCTTCTTTAGACTAAACAAACCCAATTCTTTCGATCTTTCCTCATAGGTCATGTTTGCTAGACCTCTGCTCATTCTTGCTGTTTTCCTCTGGACTCCCTCCAGTTGCTCCACGTCTCTCTTTGAGTGCAGTGCTCAAAACAGTACAGCTTGCTCCAGCTCAGACCTGGCCAATGCCAAGTAGAGTAGAAGGATTCTTTCTTGTGGCTTATATAAGATGCTCCTGTTCATACACCCTACTACGACATTTGCCTTTTTTGTGATACCATGGCACTGTTGAATCTTGGTCAGCTTGTGAATGACCAAAATTTCTGGAGCCTTTTAGTAGACCTGTTGCCTGCACTTTCTTCAGCTAACTTCAGTGATTGACTTCACTCTTCTGGCACTGCCTTTGGTCAGAATATTCCTCCAATCTGCCAACATCTTTCTTTAAGCGGAGGTAAACAAACAACACACTTTGACACATGGCCTTTATAAGAAACATGAAAGCAGTCGTTCTTACTACGGAAAGGTTTTAAAGTCTTTTGCCATTTGTTTAAAAAACCAAACCAAACCAAGAGGTTTACTTTTAGAAATCAACTTTTTATAATGCAACATTAAATAATTGACAAAACTGATTTTTTCTCTCTGCAGAATCAATTTTATGCTAGTAAAATTGGATCTTGGAACTCTGCATTGTATGACATACACATATTTGATAAATATTTGAGAGGGAAAAAAAAACAGCAAGACAGCACGTGTGCTGTTACAACAGTTTTGCAGCTGCTGAAACTTTGTGCCACACATCTCATTAGGGACAAGGAAAAACAAGGCTAGGAGAGAAAGACGAGTGAGTGCAGGAGGAAACAAATCCCTGGATCATGTCTTGGATTGCCCAGAGATCACAGTGGCAGAGGTGGGCTGGGGTACGCAGCCCAGTCACTGAGCCACAGCCCCACGTGCCGGGGGTCCCACGCTGGGACTCAGGTGAGCTGCGTCAGCTCTGCTCTGTTTGGGGCAGTGCTTTGGAAAGCAGCACAGCACCGTGCCTTCCCACATCCACCTTTACCATGCAGGTACAGACTGAGGGTAACTGACAGTAATGCCTGACCCACATAGCCTGCAGGAGACAGAGCTGCTGCAGATAAAGCCTCATACAGAAGCTCTGAGCGCTGACAGCGTGGAGGCTGCTTTAGCACAGAGCTTGCTGATGCCTCACTGCACCAACGCCTGAGTCAATAGAAGAGAATCTCACAGCCATTTCTTTTACAGAGCATACTCTGTTATTCATTAATTAACCCCATGAAAGGATTGCCTAGGAAAATATGTAACCATCCAATGGAATGTAATGCATAAATTATCATAAAGCTTGATGAAGTGTAGCACTAATTCTCATAGCTAGGTATTTCAGAACATCTCACTCATCTGCACCCTTAATTTCTTCCTCTATAAAAAGGAAGCACGGTTACACAAAGACCTAGTGATCTGGATGTGCCTGTTACTCCATTAATCTTCTCTTTTTTCGTCACAGAAAGTTGCTTTCTTTAAGCCTGTTCCTCTTACTACTTAATCCAATGTCAATGAGGCAGTAAACCTGGTGTACAACTCTACTGTAAGGTCCATTCATTGCAAAACCTGTATTGATACAGTCGGGCCACTTATACTGCAGTACGAAGGAATGGTCCTGTCTTTTTGTGCTGAAAAGCAGCAAGTAGCAAGATAGATGGCCAAGGCAGTTTGTGATAAATTGTGCCAAAGAATCCACGATGTTCCTCCTTGTCATCACTTTATGTAGACTGTATAAATTGGAAGCTGTAACATTTCTGCACAATTCATTTTGCAGGCCTATAAGAACTTTGTGAAAAAGAATGGCAAAGAAAAACTTCTCCCTGGCCTGGACATGAACCATCAGCAGCTGTTTTTTCTGAACTTCGCACAGGTATTTCACATGCTTGATGGAAGGCTGGGAAAATCACTCTGTTACAGTTTAACAGCAGGTTGGGAAGAGTAGGCTGACTTCTTAGCTCTACTAAGAGCTGTCCGAGCTGCTAAGGTGAGCAGCATTCTCTACAAGGTAGTGAAAGTAAAGTCTTAGGTAAGGTTCATCTTACCCACATAAATGAATTCATCTAGAGATAAATCTGGTGGGCAGCTTCTTGTGCTCAAATGCCTTTGTTTGAGAATAAGAACACACTTCAAAAATAATAATACATAGTTTTACTACATTTCAATATGAAATTTAATCTCCAAGTACTTCATTGTGAAATGACAGCAGGTTTCTTCCTGGACAATCTCGTTGCTAACAGATGCTTTTCTTTGTTATGTGTAGGTATGGTGTGGAACATACAGACCAGAATATGCTGTGAACTCCATCAAAACTGACGTCCACAGCCCAGGAAAATTCAGGTCAGCATGTGCACCAATCTTCAGTGTAATTCCTTAACATAACATAGCTTTCAGCTGCTGAATTTAAGAAGTCCTATATAGCAGGGTAGGTATTTAAGCATTCACAAAGACAGCAGGGTGCTAATGGCTGAGGGAGGCAGACTGCCCCCCAGCCCCAGCACAGCTTTGCTGATAGAAACACCAACATGAGAGTGGGCCTTCTGTCAGTAGCCTTTGTTTGCCTAAAGATGATTGGAGAGAGGAACTTCTTTCCTACCCAGAGCCAGAAAAACGTTCTCCTCCAGCAGGGTGGCCTGGTGTCCTCAATGCTGTGTGAGCTGCACTGCTTGCAGTGCTGCAGCCCCAAGCAGGCTCCACTGTGCCTGCTGGTACACAACACCACTGTTACAAGGGTAACAGAAGAGAGTTTTAGCTGGAAGGTTACTTATCTTCAAACAGAAACAAACCTGTGCATGTTAGTGCAACACACAAGCCTGTATTTTCTGTCCTGTATCTCTGGTTAGCCTTACCAAGAAAAGGTGGGCTTGGATTCAGCAGAGGCATACAGAAAAATGTCTGTTCAGAGTTGAAATCTTAGGGGCTGCCTGTTCATTTTAGGCCAGAGCAACCTGCTTATCAGTAGTATAACAGTGCTTTGGGTCTAACAGATCTGGTCCAGTGTGGTGAGATGATGTAGTAATGGTGAGATGCTGTAGTAATGCAGACACCACAGTGTATCTCATAGCTTTGAAAAACTCATCTCCAAGCCTCACACACACACAAAGGCTGATATCTCTCCTGATACAATTCGGAGCATTCATTTCAGTATCTCTCCTTCAGTGGCTTTCCATCACAGAGCTATCTTGTTTGTCCCACGTACTCAAATATTTGGTGAAAGTAGCGACTGTTCCTTCAGCTGCTGCTTGACTGGCATTTCTCTGTGGGTGGTTTCTGTACTTCCTGAACATCTCTCACAGAGGCCATTTGTGCAAAGTCCTGTGCTCAGCTGAATTCGGTCTCACTGCTCATGAGGCTGTGCTCTGCCCCTTCCTCCTATACCTCATTTGTATGAATCACAAGTCCCCCAAAATCAACTAGTTCAGCATCTTCACACAATCTGATTTGTGCACATTTTGAGCACGTCACATTCTGTATTGTGCTGTTTTTCAATCAGTAGGAAAGGCTACAAGCTGGATATCCAGTTACACAAACACTAATGAGGAACCATACTGATGTTTTCAGAAGGTGAGGTAGTTTGCAGGATGAGGCCCACAGAAGAGCTCTGAAAAGGAAAGCATTTCAGTACACAAGACATACCCACAAGATGACTGCAGTGTGACACTATTAAAACCACACGAGGGCTCCCAGTGCACTCAGCTTGATGGAGTTTGGTTGGATTATCTTTTGTTTTTTCAAACACCTGCTGGACTCACTGCAGGCTGTGTCTCCTACAGGCAGGACAGAGTGCTTCATAAAAACTGCTATTTGCCTAGAAAAATTTTAGCTTTTGGGTCAAGAGTTCCAAGTACTGGACAGGTAGAACTGTTTGTCTACAAATACAAGAAGTAACCAGAAAGATGGCTGAGATCAAATCCTTAAAGGCAGCAAAACAGAGCTGGTATCCGAGCATTAATATGCAATGTTAAAACACTGCTGGTGCTAGGTACCAGATCTTCACCTTTCTGGGAATATTAGAGAAGGAAGCAGAATTCTCAGCTCATCGTTGTGTTGTTTGTTAATAGCAAATGTAAACAGAGTTTACATTTACACCCAAAATACCTACTGCTCTGCTTCTGGCAAAATCGCGTTTCAGCAGTTGCAGTCCGTAGATCACTGAAGCACTGCTCCACCATTTAAACACCTTGCCTGAGTTCAGCTGCAGGCCCACATCCACGTGTGTTGGTGCCCACGTCTGACGTTCAGAGCTGAAGCTGCTGCCCCATGTAGGTACTGAACTCCTTCCACTCCTGAAGCAACAAGGGGCTCCTTGCAGTTACACTCACACATGTTCACAATTATACACGCAAAAACTGCCGTAGCTGGAATTTCCTCATACTCACTGGAGAGCTCTTGTTTGTTTGAGTCTTTATTCCAAGAAACTCCTTCACTGAAACATTTGTGGAGAACGCCCAGAGGAACAGTATCCTCTTCGTTTCCATCTGATTGGAGTACAGATGCAAATGAACATTCCCTGAGAAGGGAGAGCCATTCCTCCAACTCAGGGCCTCATTCTCCTGATGCCAGGAAACTCGTCGGCAAAGCAGAGCTGTGAAAAAATGCCAGCGGGAACTAAGGATAGGCAAAATGTGATGGGGGAAAAAGGTTAGAAATGTGGATCTTTCTGTTTGGGTTGGTTTGGGTTTTTTTTCTTTACTAAAGAAAGGGAATTAAAAATGCCACGATGTTCTTGTTTTGTTTTAAAGGGTCATAGGATCACTGCAAAACTCTCCGGAGTTTTCTGAAGCCTTTTCATGCACCACAAAAAGCTACATGGATCCTGCTAAAAAATGCCGGGTTTGGTGATGGAGCTGCACGCTCTGCAGCTCAAGAAGCTTTCCAGAAAAACAGAAATTATGGACTAATTTTGACAACAGGCAGAGGGAAGAAAATGGACAGAAAAACACTACAGAAGTCCCCTTAATCCTTAGGAAACGGGCAAGCAGGAAGCAATCGCACCAAAACAATCCATTTCTCCAGTGCAGGCTAACAGCGAGGCAGCGCCCAGCTCTTGTGGCTGTCGCTGCTCCTCAGCCAGCCCTGCAGGATGCACAGCAGCACTGCACTCACAGCTAACCCTGCTCCCCACCCCGCCATGGCTTTCTGATCATGATTTTAAATGTCAAAGTACAACGCATCATCTCCCACTGGTTGATGAACGCGTATTTCTGATCGAGCAAAGGAAGGAAGTATTAAGTAACCCACGGTATTGCTGATCGTAACGTGATAACGAGGCAGCAGTTTGCATCCTGTGTCAGAATTTGTACCCTCTGCTGTTAGGATAAATCCGTTCTACCAAATGCTTTCATTTCTACTTGAAGCCATTTATACAAAGGGAGTCCAAAGATGTGTGTAGTTAAATAACCTCTCGCTAATTATTCCATCGTGTATTACTTCAACTCACATTTACAACAGCTTATTTACTGAAATTGCAGGTAATTTATTAATTTTTGAACGCATAATCTATAAGACTGTGATCAAAGACCCTCCACAATTTTCTATGCTTTTTCTTGCTTTCTCTAATGTTGGCCTTTTTAAAAGTTTCTAGCAATGTATAAATCACAGTTTTTGTACTTAAATCTGAGTTACACTTTTGACTTAAACTACTGTAATATATTTTATCATCATCTGCATAGAACTGGCCAATTAGAGTAATGAGTGGAATCAGACAGTAAGATACAGCCTCCAAAACAGACGTGCAGTGGAGAACACCAATAAGTGTACTGTCATGCACAGCTTTCAGACTGACCATCTCAGCAGTGAGGGTTTCTGTCCTGCACATAATTGGTACACGCTCTAACGGATGTCAGTCCTCACACCAGGAAAGCTGCACAGCTGCTTACCATAACAGAGCTTTAAATGAGAAGGTAACGGGCTTTAAATCTGCAATGATAGGTACTGAACATCATCATGCAGATTGTAAAGGAACTGCTTTGTATACCAAAGCAAACAGATTTCCAGAAATAAGTGGCAGATACCTCAGATGACTGCTACAATAGGTATATTTGAAAACCTATGTTCCTTTTAGCTTTTTGAGTTTGTCATCTGATAAAAACATTTTGATAATAAACTGAAATTATAAACCAAACGCAGTGCGTGTTCTTTACAGGAAGTGCAGCAGAAGAGAAGCGCGCTGTCCATCTGCATACTGAGCTGGGAGTTTGGAGGGAAGTGTGAAATACAAACCACCCCTAAGGCATATAAGCAGAAATAGGCAAAGTTCCCTAGCTGTTGTTGGCTACCAAGTGCTCACATGCATCCTGCCTCCGTTACATGACACCAGGCCAGCAAGTGAGTGGAGATCTGGGAAACAGCCTACAGACACTGCAGGATTTGGTGTCGGAATTTTTATGAGAAGGTTTAAAGAAAAAGGAATGAGACATAGTAGGAACCAAAGTACTCTCGTTAGTAAAAGCCGTATTTACGCATGCCCCCAAACCAAAGCCACGCGTTTCCCAGACCAGCACCCTCCTCACTTCACTAAGCGCAGGACCAAACCTGCAGCAAAGGAGGCTGCTCGTTTCCTTCCTCCCCTCTGGAGCAGGTGGGAAAACGAACAGAGGTTGGCTCTGCTCCCGGCCAAAGCTGCTGGATCAGGGGAGCACGAGTGCTGAAAGAGCCCCAGTGGGACACAGACACACACGGGGACCAAGAGGACACAAAAGCAGGCACGCTCTCCAGCACAGCCCTGCACCCCATCGCTGCTGGCGCTAGGCCTGTCCTGTGCTCGCAGCAGCCTTGTCCTCCACAGCACTCACCAAAAGCCACTGGGCACACCTGCTGAGTGCAGCAAGGCCACGTGTAGCATCCAACAGAGAAACATCATGCACAGGACGGATTTTAAAAACCAAGCTTTAACCTGTAACACTCAGGATTTTCACACTCATGCAAAAGTGAAAATCGGGTATTCCATAAGAGAAACTAGTAATTGAGATGCAAGATATCTGACGTTAAGCAAGCAGTGAAAAGTCACAACACACCTTTTATCACAGCTTGCAAACTAATTAGCACCAGTGAGGCTTTCCTCCTTTTTATAACGTTAATGTCAGGGAAATATTTATAGGTATGCCACAGGAAGCATCCACCAAAGGCCTCGAGAACAACAAAGCCTGAAAAACATGCCACTCAATGTGGCATTCCTATTTTGCTGCTTCTCCAGGTCTGCGTAAGCACTCTAACAGATTTCACATCAGGAGCAGAAGTTGTAGGCAACTGCACTGCTTCTTTCTAGGATTTCCTTGTTCAGGAAACCACCACATTTTGTGTGGAAAGATAGAGAAGCAATCAATGTGGCACCACTGATGGAAGCACTGTGCTGCTGAAGTCCTCCCCTCTCTGTAACGCTCGCTGCTTTGGCTGTGCCGCCTAAGAAAGCTGCCTGGGCAGCTCCTGGCCTCACCAACACCAACATTCATGAGCGGCAGATGCTGACAGTGACTTTACAATGAACAAATTTAGATGCAAGCTATTTACTTTAAAGGAAAGGCGAAGAGGCACTCATAGTGTGGTTGGCAAAGAGCAAGTTACCTTAAGCTCACCTAGAGACGTGAGGTGTGGTCACTTACTTAAAACCAAACCAAGTGTCTTCCAAAAAGACAAAATTGAGCTCTATGAAAATTTAAGATTCCAACTAAATGGAAATCTGCAGTGGTCATATCCATGGAAGGAGATTAAAACCAAGCACCTCAAAAGACATCTGATGAGGTTCAAATCATCCCACTAACCTAAAGCAAGTTTTTAAAAATACTGTTTTGTCAGTAGATATTGGAGTAAATTCTCCTCCAGAAGAACCACAGCTGTGCACATTTTGTCAGTCGCAGTGTGAGCACGGCAGAATTTGAAGTTACTCCATGAAATATAACAACTTCCCACAGCTGAAGCCGTGTTTCACAGAACAGAAAGCATTTGGTACAGAAAACAAGGTGGCAATTATAATAATAAAAATATATATCCTGAGTTCTGATACCAAGCAGATTTTCCCTGAAATTATTCAGATCCCACATGCCTCTCTGTCTTTCTTAGCCTGCTTTACCTTGGGCTGCTCCTCTCTCATCGCACACCAGGACACCACAACCCACCATGGGGAGAAGCTACAGCAGTGACTCAACACAGAAGAAAGATTTGTAAAACCATCCTTTAACAGAAACAAGTCCTGATGAGCTCAGCCCAAACTCTGGGGCTCAGTAATGGTTTGAAAGCTGGATTTGTGCCCTGGCAGGAATCTGTTCCCTCCCTCACGTACATTCAGCTGGGCGTTGTATTGCCCACTGTCTCTGGCACTCAGCTGTGCAATGAGAAATGCTTCCTGTGCTCCACACCAAACATCATTACCTCAGAAAAGGGAAATGTTTCCTACATTCAGCAATGGAACAATTGCACTGCCCTCCCCACACTGCAGACCCCTTACAGCCTTCACAGGTACCATGCAAAGGCACGTGAACATAACAGAATCCATCAAGCAGACATCTGGGACAAAACTTCTCATGACAATATTCACAGCTGTGAATTTTCACTCCCAGCTGCTGCTTCGCACTGACCTGGTGACAACACCACCATTCAGGGCATCCTGCACCAACCATGCAGACACTCACGTAGCATCGCACACTGAACTGATGGCACAACAGAAAACACAAAGAGCACTTTGTGAGGATGCACATTACGTAAACCATTTCTCTTCTTTAAGCCTTCCTTCCTTACGCGGGGATTTACTGATCAAGTTTTAAGATTATCAAAAAGATTCAGATCCATTACCTCCCGAATTCCCCACATCTACTCCAGGTCTTGTGTCTCAATGATACACCAGTACAGTACTGAATGAGAGCCAGCTCAGTATTTGTTCTTGTCACAGCACAGCAGATACACAATACAGCACCCACTTTGTTTTACTACATACAAGCATTGCTATATATTCATGTTGGATACAGAAGACAAGACCAAAGAAATAAGTATAGCATATGCAAAAAAACTGTACAATTTGGCTTCTGCAGGATCTCAGAAGTCGGAATGCAGCCCAGAGTAGAGGCAGGCCACAGGAAAGGCCATCCTGCACAACAGGGTACCTTTGGGGTAGCTGCACGGCACTTCACATCCCAGCTTGCCAGTTACACTCTGCAATCAGCATATTTTAGATATCCTGGCACTGCTGTAGTTAGAGCATCAGAACATCAGTTAGATCAGCTGAACATCAGAACTGACACAGGCAACATGAGGTTGTATTTTAAGAGAAACCAGTGCAGGAGCAGAAGACAGATGCCCTGCTGGTGTTGAGACATCCCATGCTAGCTGCAGTTTCTGAAGGACTGGGCCGCCTGCCCACGTGTGCTGCGTGCCTGCAGCCCAGCTAGGAGGTGATGAAGTGCAGCAAAGTCATTAATCAGCATGACGAGCCATAGTAACCCAGAGAAAACTGATGGCAGAGAGCACGACTGCTGGGGAAGAGCTGTGACAGGGAGGATTCCAGCTGCAGCTCCTCTGAGTGAACAATCCTGCAATGCATCCTCAACCAGACGCAGCCACAGAACGCTGCAGGCCCACCACGATGACTCCACCTGGCTACAACACTTCCTACTCCATCGAGGACAACTTTTGGGGCCGGGATCAATGAACCAGCCTGCTTCTGGCTGCCCAGCGCTCCCCCCCAGCTGCCTTCCAGTAGGTGACTTCATCCCAACATCACCTCCTCCTGCTGCTCCCGACCACAGGCAGGTAGGGAGCCTGGGAGCTGCCGTTTGATCATTAAATCAATAAGCTCGAAGCATAAACATACCCTACCGTTTGTCCCTCTGAGCCGACCTGCATTGCCCTGGGGCACAGCCAGCACTGACGCCACCCAGCAGCAAAGCACGGCACCACACAGAGCAGCTGCTCTCAGCACAAACCCGGTTTGCACAAAAAGAAACTCAGGTGTTTTCACACAGCAGCCAACCTTCTCTGCAGCTCCGTGTCAAATCAGGGTTTTAACACACAGACATCATTACCCCCACGTGCTTCTGGCCGTGGTGAGGGATCCAGGCACACGCGGCCGGGCCTGCAGCACAGCCTCATTTCCACACACGCACAGCCACCCCTGCGCTGCCCAGCAGTGCTTGCAGCCAAACACCCACAGCTGTAAAGCACAGCACGAGGCGGCAGCCAGCCGCGTTCAGCAGACATAAAACCAGCGTTCCGTCCCGCAGCTCCTACCTGCGTCCGCGTCCGTGCTGCAGGCTGAGCTCCAACGAAGCCCCGACTGACCCGTGCTGGGCTCAGCCCCCATCCCAGAGGCGGCTCCCAGCCCACGCGGAGCAGCGCCATCTCCGCACCTGGGCACAGCCCGCACCTCGCTGCCTGCGGCCCCGCCCCCTTCCAGAAGGTTCCCGGCCCCGCCCCGTTCCAGAAGGTTCCCCCTGTTGGCGCCACCATTGCCCGGCAGAGGCTCTGCTGCACGGTGAGGTGCAGAGTTGCTGCCCTGAGGATGGCTGCTCTGCGCTGTGCTCAGCGCGCTTCAAGCGCTCTGTGGAACGCATTGCTTCCCTGGAATCGCCCACTTTTTATGACCCTCCGAGCCTGGCAGGAGCTTCTTTCCCTTCCTGCGGCCAACTCAGGAACGCGGTTCTGTTTCGCTCCCCCATCGCTGAGAGCAGCGGTTGCAGCTCATTATCTCATAGTTTAATCTGTAGGAAAAAATGCAGCAAAGAAGCTGGGAGCGAGCTAAGGATCCACAGGGATGAGTGTGGGAGTAGTTGTGTCTTTGCAAGGCACATCTTTCCGCTCTCAAAAATCAGCTGAAGCTGAATTAGACTGTTTATACTTTAGCTCTGTACGTTTCAATTTGAAGCGTTCGGTGCCCAGTGTTGATAGGCACCCAAAAAAGCTGCCAGGGGCACCTGGCTGTCTCAGCACTGTGTTCTCAGCAGTGCCTGCTAAATAAACTGGCTGCAGGTGGGGAATGGCTTTTTGGGCCACAAAATGAGCAGGGGGCTGCAGCACCTGCACTATGAAGACAGGCTGAGGGAGCTGGGTTTGTTCAGCCTGGAGAAAAGAAGGCTGCGGAGTGACCTCATGGCAGCCTGCAGTACCTAGAGGGAGCCTGCAAACAGGAGGGGAATCAACTCTTGAAAAGGATTGATAACAGCAGGACAAGGGGAAATGGTTTGAAGCTGAGGGTGGGCAGATTGAGGTTGGGTGTCAGGGGAAGTTCCTGCTATGAGAGCGGTGAGGTGCTGGAACAGCTGCCCAGAGAGGCTGTGATGCTCCATCTGTCCCTGGAGGTGTTCAAGGCCAGGTTGGATGGGGCCATGGGCAGCCTGGGCTGCTGTGAAATGGGGAGGTTGGTGGCCCTGTTTGTGGTGGGGGGGTTGGAGATTCATGATCTTTGAGGTCCCTTCCAACCCGGGCCATTCTGTAATTTTGTGTGATTCTTTGCTGTGCAGGTTACAGAACACTGGCACAGGATGCTCATATGTGCTGGAATCTCCTCTGGAGATATTCAGAATCCCCCTGGGGGCTTTCCTGCATGACCTGCTGCAGGGAAACTGCGTGATGGGGGGAGCTCCAGGGGTCCTTTCAACCCCTAACTCTACAACAGGCTGCTCAGGGGAAGAGATGTGCTGTTTATCTGCTCATGAAAGGAAGAATAAGCTCACAAGGCTTGTAGATAAAAAGAGTGTATATGATATCTACAGTGTTGGTATTAAAAATAATTAAACATATTTTAGTTGTTAGACATTCCAATTTAACTTTCAGGTTGTTCCAATCAGCATCACTGTAAATTCTTCTGTCCTGTAAGACAAAGAAAATGATGTTGAAAAAGGCACTGATGCACCCCAAAGAACACGTGGATGGCATTTGGTTCAGTGCAAGTCACTTACTTCTGTCAGGAGAAGACGATATAAACCATCAGTGCACAGCCCACTATCCAGCCAACTGCGAGCAGGATGGGTACCACAAGGCGTGAAAGGGGGAGCGGGGCTGAAAGAGGAATGATCATCTTTTTCAGAGAGGGCACACGTTATATTGACTGTGAGCTCACTGCTCTAAACACAACAAAGCCGTTGTTATCACAAAACAAGAAAGATACGTGAGTTTGGGCCACATCTACAATGGCTATTTTTGGCATGGAGTCACCATGTCTTGGCAGGTACATATACATAGCAAAACCCAAAGCCATTTCCACGCTCTGGTCTCTGCAATCAGATAGGTGCGAGGCTTAACACTTCCAAAAGAAGCAGAGAGCAGAGACAGAAGTTCTGTCCTTGGCCTCCACAGGTCATCAGGAGAACATCTGGACTGGATGGAGAGCAGACTCAGGTTCAATAGGCTGAACGTGCCTGTACAGCACCTTCCAGAAGTCTCATGAGCTTGATGACAGCAAATTAAAAATACTGCAATTATGTATATATACTATAAACATATAATTATATACTTATTTTTATATATACTACATATATATATATAATATTGTACCTGTTTAATTTAAGATTAATGTGCCTGGAGGCACAATGAGGGGTGCTGAGTGAGCGGGGTGTTTGCCCAGGGCTGCGCCTCAGGCACCCATCTCAGCACTGTGTGTGCAGCGCTGGCTTTGCCCTCTTCTCTCTCCTGTCCTGCAGTGAGACAGGGTATTCACTGCAAGGGTTTCCCTTGGCTTAAAGTAAGAAAATAACACATAAACTATCTGCCTTAGTTGGGCCACAGAAATCTGACGTCTTGCCTGTTCCATCCACTAAGAACTAAAATAGGCTAATAAATAGCTTGGAGGCAAATTGAGGTGGTGGTTCTCTGGGAAGCACACAGAAAGCAGGAACAGCCCTTATAAACGTGAGCCTGGGCAGCAACAGAGTTTCAAAGACCCTTCTCGCAGTTTGTAGCAAATAGCAGAAGCTTGCCAGTAAGCAGCACATCAACCTCAGAAACTGCATTAGTTACCAGCATATTGCAGAATGCAAAAGTACAACATTCTGCAGTTAAAAGACTCCCGGGTTTTTGAAGGATTAATAAATAATGTAAAGCTCTCCACAACACCTGCACATTTGACATCCAGTAGAGAGACTTTGGAGGGAAGCTGAATAATTTAAGGCTTTCCATGTTGCTCTTAAAAAACCCCACCAACACAGCCATGGTATTCCATGGTACATCTACCAAGTGGGAAAGAGCACATGGGTAGGAAATCTGCGTGTGCTGCCATTAAAACATGAGACATATAAACAGCAACCATGCAGCACAAGGATACAAACTTGCTATGCAATAGAGTGTCCTTTTGCCATAGGGGAGTCCTTGCTTGTTTCCTGTAAAGAGTGTTTGACTCTGTAAGAAAGGTCCTTCTGTTGGGAATCATTGCTCTTTCATTCTCCTAAAGATCCTGTTACACATAAACGTCTGGACCCTACTGAGGCACATGGAAGAATTTTGATAGAGCTCTGCTCACTGCCAATATATCTGCTGGATTTGGTGTTTTGTTATGTGAGATCCACTTGAAATGCAGAAAGGTAGGAGGAGCAAGCCAGTGCTGACGGGTCAGCAGGAATGCTGGGCCACCATTTGTCATGGGCAGCAAGCAGCTGGCTCTGAGCGATAGAGTTTCACAGGAGCCATTAAGAGTACTTGTGTTTCATTGCTTAAGAGCAGAGATGACTATGAGATCATTTGCTCTGATCCCCAGCATGTCACGGGACAGATACTCCAAGTGAGAGTAAAGCAGCTTTGTGAATACTACTTTATGCCACGAGCAGGGGATGCTGAAGCACCGAGCACAGCTCGTGCACAAGGCTGGGTGCTAGGCTGCATGAGACATCCAGGGTAACCTGTCTGCAAGGCATCACTTAGAAGGTGGCAAACTCCTTTTGCAAGGCCACAGAAGAAGGTGACAGACTGCAGGGTTCCAATCTTTGGGAAAATATCCCGAGCCTAAATCTGACAAGCACGCATCACTCTCCTTGTGGAGCAGAGCTGGGCACACCAACAGCTGCAAAGACAGCATCTGCACTGCCCAGTGCTCAGTGCTCAGTGCTCAGTGCTCAGGCTGAGCTCCGGTGAGGGGCAGTGGGACAGCAGCAGGGGAGCACGCTCCTAAGGTAATGGAAAGAAATCTTTACTGACCCCTGCAGGTAATCAGCTGCAATCCTAAAATGTGAGGATACATCGTAATTGCTGTTATAATGAATGCAAATGAGAGCAGGATACTGAGGGAAACGTGGGCTGTTGAAGAGCAACCATGAGCATTGCTTCGAAACAGGAAATCAAGCCCAGCTGCTGGGCTAGAGCCCATTGAAAGCAAAAGGACGAATCTGGGTGGCAGCAAGAATAAAGGAATCTTACTGTGACCCGTGTACATAAGCTGGCATCCTAGCTATGAATTACTTTCTTTTTCCTCCACTGCAGTAATTTTTCTCTATTTCAGACATGAATTTATCTCAAAATAAGAGAGGGGCAGGTCAGAGTGGCAAACACAGCACTTCTGTATTTCTGCAGAGCTTCTCTGCATGCAACAAATAGTGCACAGAGTGCTGTGCCTTCACAGATCAGGAGCCTCAGAATTGTGCATGATGGGATGCTGATGTACCACAGCAATGTCAACTGCTGGTCAGCAGAAATCTGGGAAGGAAGGAGCACACATCTCCTGCACCATCCTTCAACTCTGCTGGCACTGGACAGAGGAAGCATGGTCCATGCCTGGTGGCACAGGGTGCTGGGGCTGTCCCAGGGTTGCACCATGCGTTAGGTGGAGCAGACAGGTGTCCCACCACTCCCCACATCCGACACCACTTGCCTGCATCCTGGCTGCCAGCTCCAACAAACCAGTTTTTCTGAATTCCACGCATGCTACCAATAGAGCATGGTGCTCTAAAACCCAGTTTAAAGCAGATTGGACACAGACAGGCTTTGTGCTGATGGCTTTTGCCAGCTCCAGACTTGAAAGTCACACAAGCCCAGCAGCCAATCTTTCTGCCTGGGTCTCCTGGCCATGCCAACCCCCGCCCCAGTGATGCCCAGTCTCACAGTGCCAGGCTCCCATTGCTGCCCCAGGCTGTGGTTGGCTCCAGCCTGGCTCTGTCTCTCATCCATGGCTGCATCACTTTTTTTCTTTTCTTAAGCACAGACATAAAGATTCTACCAGTGCTACACATGCATCCGTACTCATTCACAGTGGAATATCAGTGTAATTTCCATGAACACCAATGAAAAGAAGGATTAAGAAATGGCATTTAGTTCCCAGTTGTACCCAAGCTCAGCAGCATTTCACTGTCCTTTTAGATACCAGTGGTAACTGTGCCACAGACAGGAGACACAGGGCTTTAAGAGCTACTGGTATACCTAGGAAGGTGGATAAGTTCCTCTTACAAGTAAAAGCATTGCTGAGTAACTGTGCATGGCTGACACTGTACATAAGCACACAGCTCTGTCACCGTGCAAACCTCTTTGGTGAGCCAAACAGAGAGTGACAGTGAATACAAAATGCATTTTTATAAACTGCCTTTTCTCATCTTCAGTGGAATTGTGCTCACAGCAAACAGCGCATTATTAAAATCTCATTTTATTCTGCCTTTGGGCTTTGCAGAGTTAAAATCTAAATTGCTTTGTGTTCACCTAGCATTGTGCTCAGACTGCAGCTATGCAATAGATCTAAATTACTGTCAAACGTAACTCAATTTCCATGGTTCAGTTTAATTACATTCATCAACTTAAAATCACAACTACAAAAACAAAAGAAAATAAAACGGGTAGAATTCAGAGGCAGGAAGAACTCGAGCTACTTTAAACTCACCGCTGCTAACAGAACTAAGAAATCTTGGGCTTTCTTACTAGAAAGTAACTTGCACAGTGTGACTGAACAACAATTAGTTCTACACGAAGAGCTGAGCATTCTCACCTCATGCTGTTCACGTTTATGACTTTTAAGAATACACGGCCACGCTGACTTCTAATCACACACCTTACCTGGCTCTGCCATTCCTCCCTCTGCCGGCTTTATTGACAAGGTTTAAGGTTTGCCTCTGCAGTTATTCCCGTGAGCGCCGGGATGCTTTAAATAGAGCAATATTTGGAATGCACTGCAGCTGCTTTGCTCACTGCTGCCAGTTTTTGGCTGTATGTTTGCAATTGTTTAGAAAGGCAGGAGTTCAAGGGATTGAAGCTCACCTCGTCCCGTTCCTGCAATCACACACCTGTTTTCAAAGAAAGCTGAACATAGAAGGGTCCTTATTTGGAAAGAGAGAGAGAGAGAGATGGGGGCAAGGACAGCTTTATGGTCTCTTAACAGCTAGGAAATACTGCATGATAAATTTGTGCCATATGTGCATACACATACTTAGTGTATTCACTCCAAAAGGTCATAACATACAGACACGGACTTTCATTTCTTCTATAGGTAACAGGCAACAATTCCAAGGGAGGAATGATTACATCCTAAAGAAAGAACAAAGAGGTTAACCAAAAATCACAGTCTGCACTCTCTAATTCAGAAGACGAAAACATGGAGATGAGTGCCAGATCTCTGTCAAAAGGGTAAAGTGCACATCATCAGCTTTCCCACCCACCACATAAGGAGAGCTCCACACAACACCCACTTGGGGTGGCCCCAGCTACATTTTCTGAGCAATAAGAGCTACTCAATGTGAGCTGGGAGAACCAAAAACACACAGCACAGCCAGCAGAGCCTGCATGGTGCATCACACACCTACAGGAAGCCCCAAAGCTTTTCTTTGGGCAGGGGGGATCATTTATCGGACTTGTAGCAGCTTGGTACATCATCCCATTCCAGAGCTGTGCCATATAGCAATGAAACTGGGATGCTTCCTGAGTGCTCCTGAAGGGGAAAAGAACCCAGTTTGCTCCAAAGCCATTCCACAGAGCAGGTGCACAGGGCATCTAATCTGGACACCTGCAGAACTCAGAGGGGTTCATCATGTTCCCTGGGAAGATGAGGGAGGGCTCAGAAACACAGCGTGCATGTCTTCTAAAAAAGATTATCCCTCGCTTGTGTTCTTGTTAATTAAATACATAAAAATTCAATTCCTGTTACCTCCCGGCTTCAGTTATTTTTTCTCTTACAGTGGCTGTGAAGATCACAGCTCCCTTGGAGCTCCCGTTTCAGGCAGCCTACAGAAAGGGAATTAAACCAAAGTTTGCACCTAGATCCCAAGGTGGATAAAACAGGGACTGTTCAGGTCAGTATGGTCAGACCTGTCCCAGAGCAGGATCCTAACCCACGTGTCTAACACCAAGATGCCCAGAACTGCAGTCATTGGGCATGGACACATCGCTGCCCACCCCCTGATCCCACGGCCACAGAGGCAGAGCAGAAGGCTGAGGGTGCACATCCAGCGTTATGTCTACAGAACAGCTGGAGACACAGCCTTCAGAACACCCAGAGGGGAGATAATTCAAGGTCTGATTTTTTTCAGGAAAAAATACATTTTTGTCCTAGATGCAAAAATGGAAACCGTGGCCCCCAGGCTGCGTGTGACTTGCATACATCTATGAAATATTTTCACTTGGGATGAACAAAAAAAATGGATAGTGGTGGAACATTTTAAATACAATTATTTGTATTGCGGTGATCAGTATCTTAGAAACGATGTAACACACGCAGTGACAGAGCAGCATTCAACTCTGGCAAAACTTCACTGAAGACAGTTGTTTTACATCAGTGATGAATTTAGCTTTGTATAGATTGCTTTTGTTGCTTACTATAAACAGTTCTCATTTTTTGGTCCTCTGAGTTTGGCATGAATTCTAAGATGGCGAGTGCAGAACAACTGAAGCCAAGCCATGCCACCTGAGGACTTGGACTTCTTCACCAGCTGCTGCACTGGATACCCTGACCAAGCTGCTCCTCAGCCACTCCACGCTCCCCATCCCTTAGGCTCACAACTTGTGCTTTCTGAGGCACTGCTTCCAGCTCTGCAGATCCAACAAACATAGAGCTTCACTGTCCTCCCAGTCCCACCAGTCCCACACCTGTCTCTGCAGACTGCATTTTTCCATCAGCTTTGGCATCACCTTAAAACCAGTAGATCTATAGGGAGCTGCTGCTTCCTAGGGTTTCCAGTGGGCATTTGTTGGCTTGAGGCACCCTGGCCCTGTGGGTAGTGCACAGGAAAATCTCCATGAGCCCCACAGAGGATCAACAAAAGCCTTCCACTGGTTTCTAGAGTTTAAGCAAACGTTGCATTAATATCAACACTAAAACAGCACATTTCCCAAGCACTGAACTTTCAGGTACTGAAGATCCCAGAAGGTCCCACTGCCTCCAATCCCCTGCAGGACAGCTCTCCTGGAAAAACACTCACCCTTCCCCACACTTCTCTGCTTGCCCAAGGTGGGTATACTCCTACAATTATAACATTTCATGGCACAATGCAGCATTTGCTGTCTCGTGTCATTCTGAGACAGAATAAAAAGTGAGTTAGGCTACGCTCCTAGCCAAGCTCTGCAGCAGAACAACGGACATTTTGGGATACAAGCCAATTTGTTGTAAAAAGAAATATGATTCCATTCCCTGTGTCATGTTTTATTAAATACAAAAAACTCTGATGCAATAACTTCATTGGCTGCTAAGCTGTTCCCGTAAAAATGCTATCTGTTTTTGGTTCTGCTAATTATATATATACATCTGATCTAATGGAAATAATTTCTACCAGGAGCCATGTATCCCTAACAAGACAATCTGACCTTCACAGATTGGGATCTTTCCAGGCTTTGTTGCCTTAAGCAAGGACAGAGTGTCATTGCTCTTTGCAACGGTTTTGATAACTACTACCCTAATTTAGCTGAAAGCACAGTAAGTCTTCTCTGCAAATCTAAAGCGTGAGGTTAAGGATATGAAAGTTGTAAGCACAGAAAAATGTAGCATGACAACATGGACATGATTTTAAACATTCACATCTTCCGTTTGGAAGGGAGGAATGAGCTGCAGACATGATTTTCTACAATAGATCTCAGCCCAACAGCCAGTCAATGCTGGGTGCCAGTTCTGAAGTGTACGAAAGCAGGAGAGTAGACAGCGCTTAAGGAAAAGCTCAAGAGAATTACTGGTGGCAAATAAGCATCTTCTCCTTTCCTAGCTGAAGAAAAATACGCAGAAAGAAACAATTTGCTCAACTTGATTTGCGTTTCACATTATATTATAGTTTGCTTTCCTCTGTGCTTGTGCAGGAAGAATAAAATCCTCACTGCACATCGCTGGAGCTGTGTGATTGACAGTGGTGGGTTGAGAAGTGCTGTAGCTGAGGTACCCACCAGATGTGTCCCATTGGAGCAGTCCTCTGGGGGCACATCCTGACTCCAGTACCATTCACAGCTCCACGCTACGAATGCTTTTATCATATTCTAAATACTTCCAGTGCTCTAAGTGAATTGGGGCCAAAATTAGGAGGAACCAATAAGCCAGTGAGGCTGTAAGTCCTTCCGGAAGAGAAAACCATATCGAGGGCAAAAGCAGCACTGATTTCTCTTCTGCAGATCCACGTGGGCTTTGCCAAAGGAAAGAGAAAAAATGTGAGGCTGCTGCTGGAGCCCTGTGCTGGCTGGAGGTCATGCATGCAGATCACAGACCCGTTTGTTCCCAGCAGAGCTGCAGTGCTGCTGGCTGCAGTGAGAGCCCCAGGCCAGCCATTCAGCTGCTGTTGTGCCAAAGCTTTGGCCAAGGGTTTGCAGGAACGAAGTCCCTAGCTGCGCCAGGGAGCACCTCACCTCACGTTACAAAGTGCCTTGTTCTGCTGATCGCTATCTTTTGGCTGTTCCTGCAGTTACACATAGGAACCATGTGAGCCTGCCATGGCTGAGCTGCTTAACTGCAGCAACAGGAGGGCTGGGAAGGGCTGGGGAGCTGCTGGCACCCGCAGCACAGAGGGGAGCTCTGTATGCACAGCAGCCACAGGAAAGGAATGGACAAGCACAGCCAGCGGCCAACCCAGGAGAAACGGCAAGAAGAATCGAGCCAGCGCTATAAGGAATGTGTTTGTGGGGCTCTTTAACAGGTTGAAGGTTGTATAGAGGCCTTCCAGCGGTCCACAAGGCCTGAGGACACATTGCCACAACGTGCTGCAGGGAATCAGTTCTCCTGTAGCAGTGCTGGGTGCAGTTAAGCAGCCGTGACGCAGCATCGCTGCATCCCACCACACTGCTCCCTCCCCAGCTCTGCAGGGCTGTGAGCAATGCCCTCTGCCCTGCTCCCCCCCTCAGTGCTGCTCCCTCAGGCACAGCACGGGGAAAGACAGCCAGAAGCAATCACACATCACCTCGGTAAGAGGCAAACCCTTCCCCTTTTGTACCACGCACAGACATTCTCTACAGCACAGCCCCTCAAGGAGGGCCAGGAATACAACGGGGAAAACAAATACAGCCCGCTTCAGAACAGATGCATTTCCTTATGCCACCTCTGCCCAGTTCGGGTGATTTAATGCCTGATGTTTGAGAAGTAACAGCCAGAACACCTCATTAAAATTTGGCCACATTGCAACAAGAATTGGCAATATTTTTTCTTTACACAACTAATAAATTTACAGTACATTCTCATCTTTGCCCCTTTACCCAGCAGTGGATTATTGAGCATTAGAACATCAAAGTGAAGCTTTCGTTAGCCTTACTTCTAACACCAGAAAGGCTTCGTGCAGCGCTCAAGAGGCGGCCAAAGACACACCTAAGGTTGTACAAATCCTGCATGATTTGTGTAAACAACTGCACGGTACACTGCTTTGCACTGCAGCAGAGAGACACAACTCATCTTCACCAACAGTGCTCCAAGTAATAAAATCTTTACGGCTTTGTAATAGTGGCACTAAATCTTCTTGTCATTTCTTCTTTTGAAGTTTTTTTTCCTTGAATAAACAAAACAAACGCAGGTGATTTCCTGTATAAATCACCACCACTTTTATATACCTTGACTTGTTTTATTACTTTGCCCCTCTCCCTTGTGACCTGCAGCGTAACAGATGTGAGATCAGGTCACTGCAGGCCCAGAGCAGCCGTATGCATGGGAGCTCCGTCCATGAGATGTGTGCTCTTCTGGGTTGCACCCATCTCAACATTTGAGAGCTCCCTTA